GTCTTCAGTTACCGCTCAAACCTTATAGCCCATCAGAGGATCCACACTGGCGAGAAGCCCTATGCATGCAATGAGTGTGGAAAAGGTTTTACCTACAACAGAAACCTAATTGAACATCAAAGAATTCACAGTGGAGAAAAAACCTACGAATGTCTTATATGTAGGAAAGTCCTTACCTCTAGTAGAAATCTTATGGTACATCAAAGAATCCACACTGGAGAGAAACCTTATAAATGTAATGAGTGTGGGAAAGACTTTAGTCAGAATAAAAACCTTGTCGTACATCAGAGAATGCACACTGGGGAAAAACCTTATGAGTGTGAGAAGTGTAGGAAATCCTTTACTTCTAAGAGGAATTTAGTTGGCCACCAGAGAATTCACACAGGGGAGAAACCCTATGGGTGTAATGATTGTAGTAAAGTTTTTAGGCAAAGAAAAAACCTTACTGTACATCAGAAAATCCACACAGATGAAAAACCTTGTGAATGTGATGTGTCTGAAAAAGAATTCTGTCAGACTTCCAGCATTCATCTTCAACAGAAAATCCATACCATTGAGGAATTGTCTTGGCTACAAAACACCCATGAGTCCAAGATTGAGATTCAGAAAATCTAGTGTCATATATAAAATGGAATAGAATCCCTGCCTACTTAAGTAACTGTTGGACAAATGATACATATTTCTTCTAAGAAAAAAGTTTATTATTTACTCTTTAATAGACAAATGAGTAGCATATAGAAGAAAGTTAATAGGCCGGGCGTGGTGGCTCACACCTGTAATCTCAGCAGTTTGGGAGGCCGAAGCAAGTGGATCACCTGAGGTCAGGATTTCGAGCCCAGCTTGACCAACATAGTGAAACCCCATCTCTACTAAAATACAAAAATTATCCAGGCATGGGGGCACATGCCTGTAATCCCAGCTACTCAGGAGGCTGAGGCAGGAGAATCACTTGAACCCGGGAGGGCGGAGGTTGCAGTGAGCTGAGAGCATACTATTGCCCTCCAGCCTGGGCAACAAGAGCAAAACTCTGTCTGAAAAAATAAAAGAAAGTTCATCCCAACTTTCAAGTCTACAAAAACATAATTCAAATCTAATAACATAGTTGTAAATGACAGCAACAATATCTTTGTATTAAAAAGTAGACATGGGCTGGGTGCAGTGGCTCACTCCTGTAGTCCCAGGACTTTGGGAGGCCGAGGTGGGAAGATCACTTGAGCCCAGGAGTTGGAGACAAACTTGGGCAACATAGGGAGACCCATCTTTAGTAAATAAAAATAAATTTATTAATAAAATTAAAAATTTAATCATAAAAAGTGGACATTGCTTTTTAAAATGTGTATAGTATGCATTTTAAAGATAGCATCACTGCTATAGAAAACCTGAACAGACAGTATGATCCAGAATGTCAGGTGTGGAGTTGAGTGGACAAGAGTCTGCTGATGAGGACAACCTAAGAAGAGCACTGGATCTGGAATCAGAAGACCTACCTTTGATTCCTGGCTTTCCCTTAATGGCCATGTGATGTTATTAAGTCAGCCCTAAAGCCTCAGTTTCCTGTCAAATGTTGACACGATACCTACCTCACAGGGTGGTTGTGAGGGTTACGTGAAAGGATCTTTGTGAAAGTGCTTTTTGAAATCATTCAGTTGTCAATAAAGTTGGATAAAAGAGGTTATGGTCAAAGTTTAAAACATGGGATCACGAAAGTTTGTGTATTAAGTCAATATTAGAATGAGGGGGATTCTATGAACCTAAAAGATGCTCATTTTTGTAAGAGGAAGTATGGTGAATAGCTAACTGGAATTTAGTGCTGTAAGAATAATTTTTTAAGTTTACCTTTTAATAAGGGAGTTAATAGATTATATATCTAGTTTATGTGTATGGAAAAAAATGTTACGGCCAGCCATTAACAGTGATGCCAAGGAAAACAATTTATTTTCCAGCTTTTGAATTTGAAACTTAACAGATGTAGAGTGTTAAAATGGAAGGGCAGTGGTACCCTGCCTTCCCTATCCAGAGAGAAAAAATCCTTGACCGAGCAGTTGAGCTGATGATCCCCGCCACAGTCATTGTCAATTCTAATCAATATTTCATCATTGCTGTCAAATGATAGCCTGTTACTCATGAAACAGCATTCTGTCCCAGCACTAAATTTACTGGGTCATAAATTTTTCTTACGGAGCCAAACTCTTCACTGATTAAGCCAATGCAGTCAGTGCCCATTAACCCCTGTGAACCATTCTGTGTCCTTGAGTACATTTGTAGGTTTTAACTCAGTCTATATTCTTGAGTTGGTAATTTTTATGTTGTAATTCTCAAAGTTCTGTTTCTGTAGCTGGACCGTGAATAATATCTGAATATGAAGATTATGTTTTTTAATAATGTCAGAGTGGTATTTTGATTATCATAAATGTTACTAATTCAACCCCACATTTCTTGGGGGCTGGTTCCTCATTAGAATGAAAGGTAACCAAGAGTGAAAACTGGAAGGGGCCTAAGGCTTAAAGTCTTAAGACCTGGATGTGGGTCACGTTTTGCCATCTGCCTCAGAAAAAATCTCTTCAGTTCTTGGAGCCTTGAATTCCTCATCTGTCAAACAGGAGGAAGAATATCTACCTCACAAAGTTCTTATGAGATAATGAATATGAAAATGCTTCATCTATGTTGTAGAAGAATCACCCCAGCTTATATAATAATTGCAAAGGACATATGTAGTTTAACAGTAGAGACTGCTGTCATTTGCCTCTTCAGCAAGTAACAAAATGTAACATTGCTTAGATTGAGACAGCCCACATAATGTGCCACCTCCTATGATGTAATAAGCTGAAAAATGTTCAACCTGAATTTTATTAAGCTTCTTGGACCTCATTGCCAGGTTACAGGAAATACAGGAGGCAGAGGAACAAATAAAAGACACCACGAGAAACAAATCCAGAACATGGAATATTGTATAAGAAAGCTGCCCTGGATTCTTCTTCAAAATATTATTATGATGAAAAAGAGGGGACTGAAAATTGTTCAAGCTGTCTGAGTCTACTGTGAGTTTATTATACCGTTCTCTGCTTTTGTGTATGTATGAAAATTTCCATATGAAAGGTATAAAACATGGAAGAGGAGGCTTGTTTTTAAAAGATGATACTAAAGAGCCATTAGATACTAAGAACCAGAAATAGACTCACATAAATGGCCAATTGATTTTTGACAGGGCAAAAGCAATTCAATGGAGGAGGGATAGCCTTTTCAGCAAATACTGTTGGAGCAATTGGATATCCATAGGCAGTAAACCAACAACTTCAGGACCCAGGACTGAGCTAAGAAGGCTCAGATGACTCAAAAGCATGCTCCTTGGAAGGAAAAAAAAAATGTTAAATTGGACTTCATCAAAATTAAGAATTTGCTCTGTAAGAGACATTTTTACAAAGATGAAAAGATATTACAAGTTGGGAGAAAATATCTGCAAATCATGTCCAAGAAAGGATTTGTATGTAAACTACATAAAGAACTTTCAAAATTTAACAGTAATAAGTAAATACAATTAGAAAATAAAAGACATTTTACTGAAGTATACATAGCAAATAAGAAAATGAAAAAATGTTCAACATCATTAGGCATGAGGGAAATGCAAAGCAAAATCATGAGATATCACCACATTCCTATCAGAATAGCTAACTTTTTTTTTTTTAATGGTGGTAACTGTTGGCAAAATGCAGAGAAACAGGATCTGATACTGTTTCTCTGGAAATGTAAAATGGTATAGCCACTCTGGAATATAATTTGGCAGTTTCTTGTAAAACCAAACATGTATATGTCATGCCTCAGGAATTGCACTCCTGAGCATTTATCCCAGAGAAATGAAGACTTGCGTTCACACAAAAACGTGTATATGAATGCTCATAGCAGCTTTATTTGTAATGGTCAAAACCTGTAGGCAACCCATATATCCTTCCTTAGATGGTTAAAACAGATTGTGGTTTATGTATTACCATGGAATACTTGTTACTCTGCAATAAAATTGACAGACTTACTGATATCTGTAACAACTCAAATAAATTTCAAGAAAATTAATGCTGAGTGAAAATAATCACAAAAGGCCATATTGTGTATGAAAATGTTCATATAACATTCTCAAAATGATAAAACTATAGAGATGAAAAATGGATTAATGGTTGCCAAAGGTTAGGGATAGTGGGAGGGAAAATGGGGAGAGGGTTGGATGTAACTATAAAGAGGTAGCACCAGGAAAGTCTTTATGGTGATGGAACACTAGTGTATCTTGATTGTAGTGGTGGTTAGACAAATCCATAGGTGCTAAAAATGACAAAAGTATACACACATACTGTACCAATGTTGATTTCCTTTTTCATATTATGTAAGATGTAACCATGAGGGGAAAGTGGGTGAAGGGTGCTATCTTTGCATCTTCCTGTGAATCTGTCATTTCAAAATAAAAAGTAAAAACCAACAATGACAACCAAAACCCAAAACTAAAGAGCCATAACCAAATAAAGTGTGTGAAACTGATTTGAAAAAAAAGTTATACATGTTTTAAGACAATTGGGAAATTTGAATATGATTGGTTATTAGATGGTATTAGGGAATTTTTGTTAATGTTCTTACCTGTGACGGTGATGGTAGTTTGAAGAATATTCTTAATCTTAAAAGATGCATGTTGAAGTATTTGGAATGAATGTTCTGATGTTTACAACTTAAAAAAAAATATTTTAAGTACGTATTGAGAGATCAGGCAAACATAGCAAAATGTTCGTTGTTGAGTGCAGATGGAAAATACGGGTATTCAATGTGCCATACTTTCAACTTTTATGTACTCTTGATATTTTCAAAATAAAACATTTGAGGGGAAATTATCAGGGCTTTTTACAGATTAATGCTGTGTAGCTTCAGGCTCTTGGGTGCGCGCCTCGCCTGAGTGTTCTATCCCTGCTTGGGGATGCACCCCTCCCTGAGGCTCACTTAGAGCTTCCAACCGCACAATCCTCCTAAGCGTTTCGCCCCATGCCTGGTGTGGGGCGACACTGGACACCCATCGAGAGGAAAGCACCTCCGAGATTCCTAGAGAGGCCGGCTTGGAGACTTGGGGAGCCGGAAGCCCATCCCGAGACACTTCCTGTCCGGTCATTGTTCTCGTACCGATGGGAGCTGAGGTCCAGGTCAGCCGTCCTCATGCTGCAGAGCCAGTGAACTCAGGTCGGGCTTCTCAGCTGCGAACAGTGAGTGAGATCGAAGCGGGTGGGCACGAACGTCGAGGGAGAAAGAGGGGCTGTCCCAGGGACCATGGCCCTAGGAGCGGCCCCTGCGTCCTTTCCCTGGGGACACAAGCCTTGTCTGTCCTGGGGTGGGTGAGTTCCCCACAGCCTCGGAATCCCGGCTGCCGCCCACCTGGGGCCTGGCCCGGGAGAGGATGGACCCAGACCAGCCAAGGGGCCAGACAGGTCCCAGGGACGGGGACGCGAGGAGCCTATACGTGGAGAGAATGGATTGCCACGTTTGGAAATAGAGAAAGGACATTGAAAGGGAGCCTTTGATAGAGGGCCCTGTGCCCTCTGGGACCAGAGGTCCTTCTGAATCTGATCAGAAGTCTGATGAGAGTACTCACAGTAGGCAGTCTTGCACATACACAAGGTGGAACTAGTCTTAAGACCTTCATACCAGATTGAATTCGGATAGTGATGGAAAGAATAATCCTCCAGAATTAAGGTTTGTCACAGGAATGAAAGTATTGCATTACTTAATAAATTCAGTGTATACAGTAAGTGGTCAGTAAGTTGACATGGGGAAAAGAATATGATCACTTCAATAGCAGCAACAGGGGATTGAATAAGATTTAGCACCCTTTTCCAATAAAACATTCAAAGGGGAATAGAAGGAAGAATTTCAGTCTCTTCATAAGCAATCAAACTAGTAAGGTTATTTTGCTCACAGGTTAAAAACAGAAACCCTGCTGGCTTAGCTGTGATAAAGGGTTACTGTTAATTAGTGACGGTATGAATTGGCATGGTGCTTTTGGAAAGCAATTTGGCGGTACATATCAACCAGCAAATCCTTGAACCAGTAATTCTCTGATTATTATAAAGGAATAATTCAGCAAAAAAAAAAAAAAATTTACAAAGAAAAACTTTTAAATATTAATAAAATGGAAATGTAAACTCTTACTAAATAAATGGTTCATAAATAGGATATGGTTACGTAAATGATAATATAGCCACAATTTAGAATACTATGCCAGAGTGAGGTAGTTCTATATGTATTGTATTGAAAGATTGTTAAGACTGTTGTGAAATACAGAAATTGAGTTAAAAAACAGTGCAGGTTGCTGAACAGTATATAACTGTGATGATCTAAAATATGTTTTTGAAAAATAAGCAGTATGTGTGAAGATGTACATATAAGCATGTAAATGCAGAGAAAATGGGTTAGGACTCCCATCTAAACTGATAAGTACTTTGTATGTGTGTGTGTAGTGTGTATAGGTTATATATTTAATTCTATATATTTCTGTATTACTTGATCCTTTTTCAATGAAGATTTATCAATACTATAGGTTATTGTGTAGCATTTAAAATAAGCATGAAGAGCTGGGTGTGGTGGCTCACGCCTGTAATCCCAGCACTTTGGGAGGCCGAGGCGGGTGGATCACAAGGTCAGGAGATCGAGACCATCCTGGCTACCACGGTGAAACCCTGTCTCCACTAAAAATACAAAAATTAGCTGGGCGTGGTGGTGGGCACCTGTAGTCCCAGCTACTCGGGAGGCTGAGGTAGGAGAATGGCGTGAACCTGGAAGGCAGAGCTTGCAGCGAGCCAAGATGACGCCACTACACTCCAGCCTGGTAGACAGAGCAAGACTCCGTATCTAAAAAAGAGTAATAATAACCATGAAGAATGGCAACATGAAAGTAATCTTTTTTTAAATCTTAAGTGTAATATTTTATCTCACAGGACATTTGGAAGCTATGGAAAATGTAAAAATCAAATAAAAAAAAATGAAAAGAACCTTAAAACTACCTGTAATTACACCACCCAGAGATAACTACCCACTGCTAACATGTTTGTATAAAGACTCCCAGTCTTTTTCTTGGGATCCTTTTGTTCACATTATTTTGTATCCTTGGCAATAAAAAATCTTTTCTTGTAAAATCCTTTTTTTAAAAATGCTGTGATGATAATTGTGAAAATATGTATCCCCATAGTCAAAAACAAGAATTTATAAATCATAATTATTAGTAGTATGGTTGGAGATTTTCCTTTGAAAGAAATATCTTAAATCTTAAAATGTATACTGGCTATCTCTTTGGAGGTAGACCGAGATGGTTTTTCTTAATCATTTGCTGCATTTTTTAAGTTTTTACAATAAAAGTATGTTAACTTTTAATCAGGAAAAAATCAATAAACATTATATAAAGCTGTTTGCAATGTGGTTATTATGGGAAGACATTACAGATTTACAGTCCAACCCCTTCATCCTATGAGGGAGGAATAGAGGATTCCATGTCCTACAGTGGCCCCTGGCCAGACACTGGTGAAATTTGCCAGTGTGCTAAGTGGCATCCAGCAAATCTCTCCTTGGTGCTAACAGTGTTTTTTGATTTCTCAGTAGGCAGTACTCATCTTGGCCCTGGGAAGAAACTCAAGAAGAAGCTTTTGAAACATAAAGCTTAGATGGGGTTTGACCTCTGCTGGGCAGCTCCCAGCTGTATGAGTTCCCCTGCTGAGCAGAGAAGATGACTGCAGAATTGAGAGAAGCTGTGGCCCTAGCTCCATGGGGCCCAGTGAAGGTGAAAAAGGAGGAGGAGGAAGAAGAAAACTTCCCAGGTCAGGCATCCAGCCAACAAGTGCACTCTGAGAACATCAAAGTCTGGACCCCAGCGGAGGGTCTTCAGACAGGCCTTGATGGATCAGAAGAGGAAGAAAAGGTAAATTGGGGCCTGAGAGGAAGAGGGGAGGAGATACTTGAAGACCTCAAGGAGTTTAAGCGGGGACTCTACCCCTCTACTTCCACACCTGGAGTCTTATTTCTTGGGTATGATTCTAGCTTCCAGTCACTTGTAATAGGATAGAAATGTTCTCTTCTGATTGATGTGACATTCAGTACTTTCTGTAAACCAGTGGTTCTCAAATTTTGCTACACAGAACCTGGAGAGCTTTTTATAAAATCTTGATGTCCATGCTGTATTCTGTTCCCATTAAATCATAATCCAGGGTCCAAGCACAGTGACTCACACCTGTAATCCCAGCACTTTGGGAGGCCAAGGCGGGAGGATCACTTGAGGTCAGGAGCTCAAGACCAGCCTGGGCAACATTGCACACCTCGTGTTTTTCTATGCAGAAATACAAAAAATTAGCTTGGAATGGTGGGATGTGCCTGTGTAATCTCAGCTACTTGGGAGGCTGAGGTGGAAGGATTGATTGAGCCCGGGAGGCATAGGTTGCAGTGAGCCGAATTAACGCCACTGCACTCTAGCCTGGGCAACAGAGTGAGACCTTGTCTCACAAAAAAAAAAAAAATAAGAATCTAGGGGTGGGACCTGGGTATCTATGTTTTTAAAAACTCTTCAGGTGATTTCAGTCAGGTTTTGACAATGCTAACCAGAGCTTCTAAAACTTTAATGTGCATAGGAATCACCTAGGGGCTCTTGTTAAAATAGTTGAAGTTCAGATTCTGATTGAGGACGTCTGGGTATGGTCTGAGATTCTGCGTTTTCTTTTTCTTTTTTTTTTCAAGCTTGTGGGTGATGCAGATACTGCTGCTCATCTTTGCACCACACTTTGACTCATGAGGCTGTACACTGTGCTGTCCTTAATGTTTCAAACGCACCCCTTACCATTACTAGTCAAATGAGGGCAGAGGTTCCCCCAGAGTTTTTCTGTAATAATATCAAAACCTTGCTGCTTTGTTCTTTAGATCCCACAAAAGTTCACTTTGAAAATTCTTCCCATGTGCTCTCTCCTCTTATGTACTCACTGATAAGCTAGGTTTAGATTCTGGAGTGAGCAGTGAGGTGCAATCAAAGTAATAAGCAAGTAGCTGGCTTGCTTCTCTGCCCAACTCACCCTGGGGGTTGGAGGAGACTCTGGCTTCCTTTTCTGTTTTTAAAAATTGTTTTATGGCCTCCAGGAATAGATAATTATGTTCTCATTCTCAAAATTGTAATCACACTACCCTCTACCACCAGTTCCCTCTTAAACATGTTCCTCCTTGTCTCTAGGGTCAGAACATATTCTGGGACATGGCGGTAGTCCTGAAAGCAACTCAAGAGGCACCTGCTGCTTCACCCCTTGGCAGTTACTCGTTACCAGGGACTCTGGCCAAGAGTGAGATACTGGAGACTCATGGGACCATGAACTTTCTAGGTATGGTTCAGTTCCCTGATTCTGAATCTGACCATGGGGGTTTCTCTTTTCAGAGACTGTGGTGGGCATCCAGTTTCCTAGGTTGACCAACAGAGTACTGAGGTATTAAAAGTGTCAAGGAAAGTTGGAAAGACAAATGCTGAAATGCCTGTGCATTTGTTACGGGAAGTGGCTTATTTTGCACACAGGCTCAAGACACCAGACAAACATAGTATTTGTCCCTAAAACCTAATCAACACCAATATGGCACCAGGTTCAAGAGGCTGAAGAAGAGACCCAGGGCCAGCAAACGACATGGAGTTTTACTAGATGTTTATATACAGGTTAGACAGTCTAGAGGCAGTGGGCTGGGCACAGGAGAACCACATGCCCCAGCGGCACAGGCTGGGCAGGAGAACTGCAACCGCTTGCCAAAGGCATGCAGTTTATATAACATTTTCACTTAACACCCTCCCATGAATGACCTCCACCTGGCAGCCTTAATTTAACACAAAATAAGGGGCCCCAATCCCCTTTAGGGCCCGTATTCCACTGAAAGGGGTGGGGAATGGATAAGGAATAGATCTCCAGGTTGGCCACTTCTGGATTCCTTTGCTTGGAACTCCAAACTGTATTCAGGTGTGTCTGCCATACAAGCTCATTCTCAGGTTATGCTTAAGTTGTTGCCATCAGGTGTTTTTACCATACAGTAGGCGAATTCCAAACTTACTTTTTAGTGATATTTATTGTTCAGTGAGTTTCATCTCTGTGCACACATGTAAGCACATGTCCTGTTTATGTGCTTTGTAGTTAGCATAGGTTGGTGAGCCTGCAAGAGATGCTAGCTGAGGTAGGATCAGTCAACTTTTGTGGTGATTTTGAGCAGATGCCCTGGAGATGTTCTGTTTTCATAGATCTTTGTGCAAATTATGGAGAATTTTGAGCAGCTATGTCAACCATAATGATGTTCAAAACTAGGTCTTCATGGAGGGTACTGATGGCTTATCAACTTGTTCTCTCTAAGCTAGGACTAAAGAAAGGGTAGTATGTTCTAAAGATCTTACTGGCAGTGGCAGAAGCTTGCCTGTGGAGGAGTGGCATATAAGTGAGGGTCAAGAATGCAGTATCCATGAGTCCTGTGTTTCAAAGCACTTATCAGATGGTTGCCAAGCCCTATTCTTTTTATGAGTCTGCCAGATAATTAACACTTTGAACCCTCTCTCCTCCCTAACCAGTTCCTCAGGCATCTGGGGACCAAGTCACTTTCTTAAACCAGCGCTATGGGGAAGACGAGGATCTCCACCTAGATTTTCTTGTCTTATTTTTAATTATTCCCAAACTCTTAGCAGCTTCTGTTCCCCACTTTCTGCTTTTTGTTCCATTCTCTCTGGTGCATTCCCCTGCGTGTCACTTATTTTCTGTCTCTTGGCTTTATCAGCCATTCATAGTCTTAACCCCAACAGCTGCACCTCATCAGGAATGGGCTCCCTTTTCCTACTTTGCCTCTTAATTCAAGACTGTGTTCATACCCGAGACTTACCATTTTGTGCTGCCAGCTATTTCCATGGCGATGGCAGGAACACTGCCAACACTATTTCCATGGCGATATCAGCAGGCGGTGGCGGGAACACTGAGCTCTATGTGTGAGAGACATCTGAGTGGGGTTGCTGCCCTGCCTCTAGTAACTCTGTGACCTTGAGTGAGTCCCTTCTCTCTTTGGACCTCCATTTCCTGTTCTACAAATTGGGTGTGTTCATTCATTAAGTATAGGATTCGTTGGCGCTCTCCTTCCTGTGTGCCAGGCAGTGTGATAGGTGCTAGAGATACAGAAATGAATAAGACACAACTTTGCTCTTTTTTTAGCTGAAGGAGAACAGTTTCATCATCATGATGAAATTGTATAATATACATGAAAGTGCTTTGGAAATTGTGATGTGTTACTGGGTTTTTAATGTCTGAGCAAGTTTTAACTGCAGTTTTCATATTTTAATTAATGTTGCATTTATTAAAGTTTATTCATTTAAAAACCAGTTTTTAAGCCATTAAGCATAACTTTTTACTTCATACATACGTCTAGAAATGTTTGTATAAAAGTGAGAACATTTGTATTTTTTCTTTAATTTATGTTCAGTTAAGCTTCAAATTTTACAGATTAAATATTTTAAACATTTTGGCCTGGCGCAGTGGCTCAAACCTGTAATCCTAGCACTTTGGGAGGCGGAGGCGGGTGGATCACCTGATATCAGGAGTTCGAGACGAGCCTGGCCAACATGGTGAAAACCTGTCTCTACTAAAAATGCAAAAATTAGCCAGGCGTGGTGGTGCGTGCCTAGAGTCCCAGCTACTCGGGAAGCTGAAACAGGAGAATCGCTTGAACCTGGGAGACAGAGGTTGCAGTGAGCCAAGATTGCACCACTACACTCCAGCCTGGGTGACAGAACGAGAATCCGTCTAAAAATATAAATAAAATTAAAATTTTTAAACATTTAATCCTACCTGCTTATCAAATTTCTTTATATAAAACATAATTGCAAATCTGATATCTTTAGTTCTTTAAAACATTCCAAACACCTAACTGAGCAGATTTACAAGTCTTGTAAATAAAATCTTGGTAAACACACAGCTTTTATAAATCTAATGAATTGGACTTATAAATTTAGTAAATCAAATTACCCTTCTTATCTCTGAATATAGTCACCAGCTGAGATGGCAGCCTCATGTAGCATTTCAGGTATCTTAAAAAAAAAAAAAGTGAAAGAAAAGTATTGATTTCAAAACTATGGCTATGCCTGTGTTCTAGTTGGTCACAAATTAGTTTTTGGTTTAGTTTTTCATTATTTCTGTACTTAATTTAATTTCTCTAGAGCTACAGTAATCCTACATGTTTTTAAAAAAGGAAAAATACCATTTCAGAGAAACCAAGGTTATACACCCAGATTATTTGCTGATTAATCTTTTTACCCAAAGAAATTTGAACTTGACTAACACCAGATGGACCCTAATTCTCTTTTCTTAGGCACTTGTCCAGACCCCAGGTCTTACTTTACTCAGTGATGAATCACTTGCATGAAAACCTTCTAGGCTACAGTTGCACCTGGTTTTGTAATGGTTTTGACAGGAGACATCATTCAGATAGAAGGAATTGTTTCCATTATTGACTGTAATCAGTTTAGTAGTTCCCACTGATCTTCATTTTTCATGCCCAACATTCTAAATCTCCCAGTAAGGAGGGTAGGAGTGAAGGTCAGGGAGACAGTGCAGCTATGAACTAAAGTTTTCATGGGCTCTGTTTCTGTTGGAGAGATGCCCAGCTTGGGGATGGGAGGCCCAGATGTCAGTGATGGGGAGTTAAAGCAAAAGAGGAGGTGAAAAGAACCAAGGGAGGAGATGTTAGATGGGAGAAGAATAAAGTGGGATGTAGGAGGAGATGTTAGATGGGAGAAGAATAAAGTGGGATGTAGGTGTTAAAGTAACAGTAAAGAACATAAGGAGAAGAAAACAGTCAGCAAAAGAAAAATAGAAGAGGCATGAAACTGTATATGGAAAAATTCAAAATATTTCACACAAAAAATTAAAAAATAGGAGAGGAGAGAGATGAAGAGTCAGTAAGGGGTCAAGATAACAGGAAAAAAATAAGAAAGCAACAGCAGAAGAAAAGATAGAAGAGCAAGTAAACTACAGAGAGAAAAACAGTACATTTTTTAAAAGCGAGAGAGAGCAGAACAGTAGGAATAGAAATAACCAGAAAAAGTTTAGCATTTCAGATTTTTTTTTTTTTTTTTTTTTTTTGAGATGGAGTTTCACTCTGCTGCCCAGGCTGGAGTGCAGTGGCATGATCTCGGCTCACTGCAACCTCCACCTCTTGGGTTCAAGTGATTCTCATGCCTCAGCCTCCAGAGCAGCTGGGATTACAGGTGCCCGCCACAACACCCAGCTAATTTTTTTGTATTTTTCCTAGAGACGGGGTTTCACCATGTTGGCCAGGCTGGTCTCCAACTCCTGACCTCAGGTGATCCACCTGCTTTGGCCCCCCAAACCAAAGTGCTGGGATTACATGAGCCACCACACCTGGCCTTTTTTTTTTTTTTTTTTTTTTTTTTTTGAGATAGCGTCTCGCTTTGTCTCGTCCAGGCTGGAGTGCAAGTGCAGTGGTGCAGTCTCAGCTCACTGCATCCTCCACTTCCCAGATTCAAGCGATTCTCCTGCCTCAGCCTCCCAAGTAGCTGGGACTACAGGCATGCACCACCACACCTGGCTAATTTTGTATTTTTAGTAGAGACGGGGTTTCACCATGTTGGCCAGGCCAGTCTCAAACTCCTGACCTCAGGTGATCTGCCCACCTCAGCCTCCCAAAATGCTGGGATTACAGGCGTGAGCCACTGCGACCTGCCAGCATTTCAGATTTTTATTGTTTGCCATATCTGGGGCTCTACTATATCCAGCACTTGGGCATTTCTTTCCTCTGACACTGCTCATCTTGTCTGAATGATTGTGATAGAATTTCAGATTACCGTAGTCTTAACCAGGCAATCAAACCAGGCTGTTTTCCTGCCCCCAATATTGCTTTGTACCACTCCAACATCTTTGTCCCACCCACTCATATCATTGGTTGGATGGTCATCCTGTAGGATATTTCCCTCTTACGGATGCTAGTCTCCCCACTGTGCAGTAGCAGCAGTTATAACCTGAAGCTCACAGCACCACTGCTCATATCTGAGCTGACATCACCAGTGGGAATACCTCCCTCCTCTACAGGCTTGCCACCCATTCCTGTTACCCTTTATTTCACTTGCCTTATTTCTTGAGCTTGGTTTAACTGACAAACACTTGTTAAGGGTTCATTGTGCCAAAACTGGGTTACATGGTTGCACATTTCAAGGTCAAGGAAAGTGAGGGTGCAGAGGAGGCAAACATAAAGAACCATGATGTTACTGATAGCAGGACTCCTTTTTGATACCATTAGATTCTGAAGCAATGTAAAGCATCCAGAGACTAATCAGTGTCATAAAGCTTCAGGGTGTTTTGATGTTCTCATGATATTTTCTGGCATTATGGAGCAGGCTATGCCATAACTCAACAAGGTCAGCTTTCCTTGACACAATGCTAAGCTATTCCTATGACACAAGGGTAAGAGTTTGCCATGTACGGTTTCTTTTTTAATTCTCCTAGTGTAGCTGTCTATCACCATAGCAACTTCCCTCCCCTGAGCATTCATCTTTCCTTCTGACCCCTCACAACATCATCAGTCAGCCTGAAAGTTGCTGCACACATTCAGAACACTGACTGTATTCCAGACAATGCCTTAGTAGTTGACATAGAGTAACTCCATTAATATACTCACAGCCTTATGAGGTAGATACTATTAGTATCACTGTTTTAGAGATTGGGAAACTGAGGCACACAGGAGTTAAGTAGCCCAAAGTCATGCAGCTAGTTAGTGTCAGAGCAGAGATTTGAAACCAGGCAGTCTGGCTCTAGAATCCATGTTCTTAACCTGTATGCTGCAGGACCTCACAGCGTTTCATATGCTTTTGGCTGCTGTGGCTATCTTGGCAGCCAGTGTTACCCTTTCTGTCCATGCTTATCCTTTCTTTGATATCCAGTATCCTCAGACACAGAAACCTCGGTTGCTAGATCTTTGTTTACAGGTAGCAAATCTCCCTAATTAACTGGTGGGTTGTAAGCAAATCCACACTAAGTAGCTAAGGTAAGAAGGCAAGCCTAGGGAGAGGCTCATGTCCTTCATAACTGGTCTTCATTGCAAGGGCAGTCATCATACAGCCAGGAGGAGCGCTGTCTGGAGATTGGGCCTCCCTGGCATGAGGCAGCGGGGTTAAGTGTCTATTGGAGGCAAGTGGAAGGGCTGGAAAGACCATGAGTCAGTGGATTCTGCCGTAGGTAGAGAGGAGGGCAAAGCCCCAGCTGAAGAACCTGTGGAGGAGAGGTAACATGTGATGGGATTCTTTTTTTTGATGAAGCCATTTTGTGGAGGTGCTGAGATCACATACTCCCTTTTATGACTTGATGATCCTATTTTTTTTCTAGGCCAGAGAAAGCTAACATTTGTATTGTCTGTTTCTTGGTTCAGGTGCTGAAACCAAGAACCTACAGTTACTGGTTCCAAAATCTGAGATATGTGAGGAAGCTGAAAAACCCCTCATCATATCAGAAAGAATCCAGAAAGCTGATCCTCAAGGACCTGAGTTAGGAGAAGCTTGTGAAAAAGGAAACATGTTAAAGAGGCAGAGAATAAAGAGGGAAAAGAAAGATTTCAGACAAGTGATAGTGAATGACCGTCAGTTATCTGAAAGCTTCAAAGAAGAAGAAAACCAGAAATGTAAGAAATCTGGGGGAAAATACAGCCTTAATTCTGGCGCTGTTAAAAATCCAAAAACCCAGCTTGGGCAAAAGCCTTTTACATGTAGCGTGTGTGGGAAAGGATTTAGTCAGAGTGCAAACCTCGTTGTGCATCAGCGAATCCACACTGGAGAGAAACCCTTTGAATGTCATGAGTGTGGGAAGGCCTTCATTCAAAGTGCAAACCTCGTTGTGCATCAGAGAATCCACACTGGACAGAAACCTTATGTTTGCTCAAAATGTGGGAAAGCCTTCACTCAGAGTTCAAATCTGACTGTACATCAAAAAATCCACTCCTTAGAAAAAACTTTTAAGTGCAGTGAATGTGAGAAAGCCTTTAGTTACAGCTCACAACTTGCTCGGCACCAGAAAGTCCACATTACAGAAAAATGCTATGAATGTAATGAATGTGGGAAAACATTTACTAGGAGCTCGAACCTCATTGTCCACCAGAGGATCCACACTGGGGAGAAGCCCTTTGCTTGTAACGATTGTGGCAAAGCCTTTACCCAGAGTGCAAATCTCATTGTACATCAGCGAAGCCATACTGGTGAGAAGCCATATGAGTGTAAAGAGTGTGGGAAAGCCTTTAGTTGTTTTTCACACCTTATTGTGCACCAGAGAATTCACACTGCAGAGAAACCTTACGACTGCAGCGAATGTGGGAAAGCCTTCAGTCAGCTCTCTTGCCTTATTGTCCACCAGAGAATTCACAGTGGAGATCTTCCTTACGTATGTAATGAATGTGGGAAGGCCTTCACATGTAGCTCATACCTACTTATTCATCAGAGAATTCATAATGGAGAAAAACCTTACACATGTAATGAGTGTGGGAAGGCCTTCAGACAGAGGTCGAGCCTCACCGTGCACCAGAGAACCCACACTGGGGAGAAGCCCTATGAATGTGAGAAGTGTGGTGCAGCTTTCATTTCCAACTCACACCTCATGCGACACCACAGAACCCATCTTGTTGAATAACAAGTAAGGAAGAGGAAGACCTCCAGCATTGGTCATAACCTTCTGCCTCCCTAATGAGACACCTCTTTGCTGTTTTCTTCCTCCTCTATAAAAGTGAGGGCTATGTCCTTAAAAGTTAGAGTTTTCAGGAATGCAGCACAAAACACAAGAAAAGCATTTCAGAGGCTAATTTAAAGAAAACAAAAAGTAAGCATCTAAAGGCAAGGACTTTGTTTTAACTGTACCTTAAGCGGTCATGTTTTCTGAAGTGGAATGTGGCTTTCTTAGGAATGGGTCATACAAAGCTAAGTGGTAATGATGTTATTTGGGGAAAGGTCTTTTTTGCTTAATTTTGTTTTTTAAAACTCTGATGATTGCTTGAGCAACAGGCATGTTATCTGCCTGGTTGAATTCTGGTTGAACTGTGTATTCTAATATTTCTGGTTAAGTGGTGACTAGGTAAGGAAACCACTTGGGGTATCAGTTCAACAATTCACTTATGAATGTTTATAAGCTTTCCATTTCCTAGGTAATTTTTAGAAAGTCAGTCAAAACAAAAAAACTTTACTGAAAATGGACAGAAATAGGAAATGGACTTTTTCCTTACTGTCTATACCTCTTGAACCTTGGTATTGTAAAGATCTGGGGACCTCTGAGTCTATTCTGACCATTCCCTAGTCTGCATGGCCAAGCACTCAAGGATTGATGGACACCACACACCAGCTATATTCATTTGCCAAGATCAACAGCTCCTTCTCCAAACAACTCAAGCCCCCAATTCCCATCACATTCCATTTGGGTGAGATGCAACTAACAGCCCCTTCCTGGATAAAGGAGTCAAAGAATAAAGCTTGCCTAGAGGCATGCCCCAGTTGTCTCTGCTGTCATTCTGCTCAAGTCCAGGCAGGGGTCTCAGTTTGGGTTTCATTCTGACATTCTGGATGGTGTTCAGAAGAAATGGTGGAGCTCTTCTCATTCTGAGAGGACCTAAGAGGGCAAGTGAAGTGAGAGGGAAGGTGGAAGTAAGATTCCTAAGGTCTTAATTTGATTTTTTGAGAAATTCAGAGGTGTTGGAATATGAAAACTTTTAGAGGGATGAAGAAACTGGCTAAGGTAAGATATCTTTGTTACCATTGAGCCTTTACTCCTGGAAGAATGGTTTATTAAACTATGCAGTAGGTAATATGTAATAATATTGCCTTGTATTTATACAGAACTTTTATTCTTTGTTGTGTACCCTTATGTATTGACCATGATACCTGGCATGTATCTCACACATTCACATAGATCACTACCTTAGTCCTTACAACACTGAAAGAGGTGGTTGCCTGTTTACCGGAGAATGGTCATTTAGTGCAAGGCCAAGTAACAAGTGACAGCTTATATCCAAGTCCAGGATCTGAATCTAGATTCTGTGTTCTGCCATGCCACTTGCCTCACTACCTGTAATCCCGATGCAGACCTGTGGGGGAGACAAAGGGGTATGTAGTCCCATTTTTCAGGTGAGGAAGCTGATGTGACAGATTTTGGGGAGTGCCTTAGGCACTGTGACCAGAAATCAGCAAACCTAAGATTATTTGGTCTCCTGATTTCTGGCTCTGTCCCTCCACGCTATTCCAATGCCTCAGGGCATACGAGAGCATTTATCATAAATGCTGAGCCTGATGCAACTCTCATGCAGAAGTCCCATGCATTTATTATCACATTTCTGCAAGACTAAATATTAATCACATAGTGTTTTCTAGTTTATAGAGCACTTTTTTTGGTTTGTTTTTTGTTTTTGAAATGAAGTCTTGGCGCTGTTGCTTAGGCTGGAGTGCAGTGGCACGATCTCGGCTCACTGCAACCTCTGCCTCCCAGGTTCAAGTAATTGTCTTACCTCAGTCTTCTGAGTAGCTGGGACTACAGATGAGTGCCACCACGCCTGGCTAGTTTTTTTTGTTTTTTTTTGAGACGGAGTCTTGCTCTGTCGCCCAGGCTGGAGTGCAGTGGCGCGATCTTGGCTCACTGCAACCTCCGCCTCCCAGGTTCAGGCGATTCTCTTGCCTCAACCTCCTGAGTAGCTGAGACTACAGGTGCACACCACCACCCCCGGCTAATTTTTGTATTTTTAGTAGCCACGGCGTTGGTCAGGCTACTCATAAACTCCTGACCTCGTGATCCACCTGCTTCAGCCTCCCAAAGTGCTGGGATTAAGGAGTAAGCCACTGTGTCCAGCCTTTTTTGTGTTTTTAGTAGAGATGAGGTTGCACTATGTTGGCTAGGCTGGTCTCGAACTCCTGACCTCAGGTGATCCACCTGCCTCGGCTTCCCAGAGTGTCAGGAATATAGGCACGAGCTACCATGCCTGGCCTACAGTGCATTTTCACATACAGAAGGCATACACAAGAAAGCTTATTAATTTCCTTTTTCCTCCCTCATCTATTTTTTGTCAAAACATATGCAACTTATTTTTGCAGTTTTGCTCTAAATCATAGAGACACAAATACAAGAAATCAAAAGGATTCAAAAGTAGGATCACATACTCATGCCCTCACCAATCCTAACAGTGACTGTTCCAGTCTCCCTGATGCAATGGAGAGACCCAAAGAAACCACCACCTGTCTCTGCTGAGAGTAAGAACAAGTTAGTTTTTTTCCCCTGCCTTATCAGGAAACTGAGAATATAAGGAGAGCAGGTCTGAAGATTTGAGATAACTCTGTGACCTTGACCTCCGAAGAGACCAAAACTACTTTGCTGAAAAAAAATATCCGCTGGGATTTATGACCATTAAGACAGTTAAACCATTCTACTATCACATGTTTATCCTTGTAATTGAATATTAAGTTATGGAGGATTGTAATTTTCACTCATAGGTAGTTCAGAAAAGCTACCCAGGCGATTATGATGCAAAACTAGGTTTGAGATTCACTGACCCAACCTTGCAGTAAAGCAGTGGTTTTAAACCTTGGCTTCATGTTAGAATCACCTTGGGCACTTTTTTAAAATTTCCATTTCTAGACCTCAGTATTTTTTAAAACTCTGGAGGGGATTACAATGACAAGCAAAGGTGATGAACCACTGTAGCAAAAAGTAAAGGCTGCAGGTCAAGAATGTGTGTGATCAAAGGTGGAGGGGGTGGGGGGTGCTCCAGGATAAGGATCTGTATGTGCAAAGCATTCTATGTATTTTTAGCAGAGCAGGACACTTACTTTACACTGGCTGCATTAGGTGTCCATCAGTGCCTCTGCCAACCATTGGATGTTGGAGGATTCTGCTACCTAACTTATTTTATTTGTATTTAAGTGAATATACCAGGCATTTATATGAGTAAACCAAGTTTTATATAACATACTTTTGGTATGTATTATGACCTTTTACATTTCTACTTGGATTTCATCTCCAGATCTCAGTTTCCACAAACCTGCATCTAGGTTCAGGGCCTCTGATTCTGCACAAATCATGTGAGCCAAGTGGATTGATTACTAGACAGATCAGATCCTTCCCCAGCTAATAACTCTCCCTCCTGAGTCCAGCCCTGAAAATAAATTGCAGCCTGCCATTTTCTTTATGGTTTATAATAAGGGAGGAGTGGCCACCTTTTGTCAGTTTGCTTAGTTTCCTGTTCTTTGGACTCATCTCCCATCTTTTTTGGGTAGTCTTGCTAGGAGTGGTTGAGAACTCTGAAGCCCCATTTTCCTAAGTTGCTGAGAGCTATCAGACTTTTAGCTGTCAAGCTGAGAGCTCTGTTGCAGGCCTAGTGATTGGCATTAAGAGTAGGGCCAGGAAATCTGTCCTCATCCTCAGATGAGACCAACAGATATGTATTAAGTGGAGCACAGTGATGCAAAACTGATGGTGAAATCACAGTACTCTGGGAGCACAGGAGAAAGCCTTCGATCCCTAACACACATAAAGTTACACACTCAAACACCCATAAATTCCTCGAGGCTTAGGAAGTGGTGACTTTGGACAAAGCTAATTGTTCATCTGCTCTATATCCCCTCCCTTTCTCAGGTAGTTGTCCCTCTCCTACATCTGGCACCTCTCCACTTGCTCATCCATTGTAGGCACTGCAACCTTTCTGGGGTTGCAGCCCCTTTGGAAATCCAGGGGAGATTGTGGATCCTCTTCTCCTAAGAAATGTACGTTGCAGATTAAATCTTGTGCTTACTTGGAGGTTATGCAGGCTTCCTGAAGCCAATACATAAATCTAGGGCCTAAAATCTAAACTGGGGATGTATTACATAATCACTGGTGACTTTTTTTTAAATGAGGTTAGGTTTCAGAATCGCTAAGAATGTTGCCCAGACGCATAACCTTTAAAATTTGTTTTTCTCCTGGATTCCTTCCCTCATCAAATGACATTATCCCCACCACCTGGGGCACCCAGATTGAATGTCCAGAAGCTATTTCTGCCTTCCTAAGCATCATTCATTACAAAAACATTTTGTGTTCCCTTTGTGGTGAATGTCGTGCTAGATTCTGGAGTGCCAACGCAAACCTGGTCCACTAGCCCTGTTGTCATGTCTTGTTATGGGAAAAATACCAGGATCCCTAACATGATTTACTGAGCTCTTCATAATTGCTTTCCAGCCTCATCTCTTCACTCTCAGGCACCTTTTAGTGCAGCCTAGAGGCACGTGCTTGCTCTCCTCTGTGCCTTTGCTCACACTTTTCTCAGTGGCTATAATACCTCATCACTACTTCCCACTCAGTCCCCTTCTATTTTTGTAAGCTTAGTTTCTTCTGATATTTGGTTCAAGTTCCATCTCTGGGAAACCCCTGACTGCCTTATGGCCAAAGGCATATTCAGAAGTATATTTATTGATATGCATATACGAGTGCATGATATGCTGTGTATCCAGGGATTTACCTTTTTGCTTTAAAGTGAAAAAATCTGGATTAAAAATTGTGTATATAGTACACTTCTCATGTACTGTTGCTGTTATATATACTATATACTATTTAAAAGTATATAGATAAATTACCTAAAGGAAATAAGAAAATATCATAAGTGGTTAAATGACTTGCAGCCATACAGATGGTTAATTCCAGGCTTAGCTTCAAACCCATACACTCTGGATAATAGGATTATGGGTTACTAAGAGGGATTTTGTTTCTTTGTTTGTTTGTTTTAGTAATTTCTGTATTTCTATAAGCAAGAATTTTATAAAAATAAATTATTATATTTGCATATCTAGTTTATTATATTAACTATAAACCATATCTCAATTCTCCATTTTGTGGTATGTTGGAGGGACCTTCCCTTCCTTTCTCTTTCCCTTTTCCACATTGTTGTCTCTTACATTATCAAGTCTGATAATTCTTAAATTCTATTCTGTAACCAGTTAGGATTTTATGGTTTGTTTATTGATAGATTTCAAAAGCTGAAAATAAACAGCATGAACATTATTATGACCATGTGAATATTGTTGACTGCAGATCTTAGCCTACTGTGTTTATATTTCCTTTTGGGATCAGCTTTTTGTTTTTACTGAAGTTTCTACTTGCCTTTCTTTTTACCTTGTACTGGTTGCTTTCCACACACTCGCAGTCATCTTCAAATTCTCCATTCAATTAAATACTCTGTTGAATTCACTTATTTTCTCGCTGTATATTCCCCTTTCAGCCTCCTGCTCTAGTCTGTTTTTGATGCCCTTTCTGCCTATTATTCTGTTGTTACACTGGACTCAACTGTTTCCTGAATTCTGTGTCTTCTTTTTTCTTTATTTACTTCATCATTTTACTATAGTACATGTCAAGTCTCCTGTCAGGAAAAAGTACATGGAAGGCAAAGTTGTTGAGTGTTTATATGTCTTTCTCTGACTTCTCACTTGATGGTAATTTGATGGGCTCTGGAATTCTAGGTTGAAAAATTTCCCTAGAAGTTTGTAGCCATCACTTCACTGACTTACAGCATCCACTGCTGCTGAGATGCCTGATTCCAATCTGATACTTATTTATTTGACAATAAATAGTATTTACATTACAGTGATCTGTTTTTGCACCCCTATGCCTGGAAGCTTTTAAAGTCTCTTCTTTATCTTTGATGTATTCAATTCCCTAATGCTCAGTGGAATTTTTCAATCTAGAGACTCAGGTACTCCTACTCTTGGAAATTTTCTCATTTTTTATATGACTATTCCCCCTTTCCATGTTTTTTTTTTCCTTCTGTTTTTACTCTTTATAGAGTTTCTGCTAATCAAATGTTGGACCTCGTGGATTGATCCTTAGCTGCATTCATTATTTCCATTTCTTTGTCTTGTGCCACTATGAGAAGAGTACCTTATTTTCTAATGAATAATATTTTTAACAGTAACAATTTTAACAGTAACTAGTTTAATTTCTGAGAGCCTTTTCTTAAAAGTGTCTTCTGTCACATGAATTATCTCATTCCCTTCATGCCCCTGCCACTGGGTCCTTTTTCCCCTCTGTTTACCTTGTTTACTCTCAGTAGAGACTTTCCTCAAATGTGTTGTGATTCTTACACCCATGTACATGTGTGCGCGTGTGTGAGTGTGTCTATGAATTAAAAGCCTAATTGAGACCTCTGTGTGTAGGAGTGAAATTTGCCCACTATTTCCCTGGAGACCCCTAAATGCCAGAATACAGAATATTTTGCCTTGGGCTCTTACATTTAATCAGCAAAAATCCTCTGATATTTTTGTCTGGGGTTTAGATGCTGTTAAGTGCTTTTCTAGAAGTGGAGGGAAGGAAGCCAAATGTTATTACAGAATTCCAGTTAATGCCCTTATTATTAGATCCACTTCTGCCTCCCACCCTTCATTGTACCTGGGGTTTTGAAATTCCAAGTCATCGGGGTTGAGCAGGGTAGATCAGCTAGCTCCTTCCATTGGATAGCTCTCAGCAAGAGTTCCAAGCTGTTACTCCCTCCACCCAGCTTTCTTAGTTACCACATCATTCATTTTCCATCTTCTAGAAATTTGTTCCTTTTATCTCTTCATTATACTTTTTTTTTTTTTTTTTTTGAGACGGAGTTTTGCTCTTGTTGCCCAGGCTGGAGTGCAATGGGGCGATGTCGGCTCACTGCACCCTCCGCCTCCCGGGTTCAAGCAGTTCTCCTGCCTCAGCCTCCTGAGTAGCTGAGATTACGGGAACATGCCACCATGCCCATGCCCAGCTAATTTTTTTTTTTTTTTTTTTTTTTTTTTTTTTTAGTAGAGACAGGATTTCACCATGTTGGCCAGACTGGTCTCCAAGTCCTGACCTCCAGTGATCTGCCCACCTCGGCCTCCCAAAGAACTGGGATTACAAGCATGAGCCACTGTGCCCAGCCTCATCATTACACATTTTAACCATTTTTTTCCATTGTTATTTTAGGGAAAGTTAAACCATTTTTAAAAGAATGTTGATATCCTTTCATACAGCAGTACCACTTTTAGAAAGCTATCTTAAGAATGAGTATTTGTACAATGATTTACATACATGTCAATGTTACTCATTTCACAAAAAATAAGTGACTAACCTAAGTAACAATAGGGGAATGATTAAATAAGTTATAATACTATGGAATATTGTGCAACCACTAAAGGTCATAATTAAAAGAATAGTGATATGATAATAGCACACAGTAATATTAAATAAATAATGCAAAGTACAAAATAAAACACTGTATAGAGAGCTGAGTTTTCTAAGATGCACATGCATAGGAAGGAAAGAAATTGGGGGTTAACTGTGGTTAAATTTTCGGCATTGTCTACATTTTCTACAGTAAGCCTGAATTACTTTTATGATCAGGAGGGGAAGGTTAATAGAAAGATCATGGCTTCTTCAGAGTGGTGAGACTTTCTTGTGAAGTGTGAAATGGGTAATGGGGAATAATAGAATAAGGGTCTGGAGAAATAAGGTCCCTGTTTTTATCCATTGTTAGCATTTTATGGTTACCAAGAACCTAATACCAGGTGAAGGAGTTCAGCAGAGGAATATGTATTTGTGACATTGTCCTGGCTGGACTGTGAAGGCTGAGCTGGTGAGGGGAGAAAGGAATCCTGAAGACCATATTGGCGGTTTTTTTCAGAGCCCAAGATAGATGGTGGGATTCTGACCCAGCCATTAGAAGGGGGCCAGAGGAGAAAGAATAGATGTGATGTTTTGAAGACAAAATGAGCAGACTTCAAGGGACATGGAAGATCAAGCAGCAAATTCCCAAGCCAGAAGTCTGGGCCTCTACATCCTGGTGAGACCTACGATATGACAAACGAGGCCAGGCCCAGGTCCGAGAGGCACTGCTTTCCTTGCAGCTCTCTGGAACTACCCTGTCTTCACAGTGGCTAATGCCTCTCTGATGTTGGGAAGGGCTGGAGACAGAGCCAAGGGAGGAGACAACCCAACTCCTAGCAGGCTACCTGGCTCTTGTAGGCTACCTTGACACCAACTAGTTTCCCCACTTGTACCATGTGTGGTTTTCCAGAATTCCTGTGATCTCTGGTATTTTCCCTCCAAGGAGTGGGGTTCCCTCAAGGCAAGTCCCACTACTGAACCAATAGCAAGCTTGTAATCATCACTACTGTTAGTTGAGGGGTTCCTGTGTGCCAGGCACCATACTAAATGCCAAGTGTGTTTTATCTCATTTAATCCTCACATGAGGAGGGATGTTCTCTTACGCCATTTGCAAAACCAGTAGTCCCGGTCAGGATTAGAACAACTCTGATGTACAAGTCTGTGCCCCTTTCTCCCAGGTGAACTTCTCAGTGCACCCCTAAGGGCTCCTCTCCACATGTAAGAGTTCTTTGTTAAATTGAAAGAGCAGTGCTTGCCTGTAGTAAAAAGATCAATGGTGCAAAAGCATACAAAGAGATGTGAGACTCCCTCCCAGTCCACACAACCAGTCTCCTACCCCAGTGGTAGCTATTGTTAAATTTCTTGAGGATCCTTCCTCAAGATAGTCCCAGCATTTACAACCTTATGTATCGCCCTTAAAGAAACACGAAAAAACAAATGAAAGCTTAAGATACACAGTCTACACCTTGCTTTTTTCAGTGTCTTGGAGATGGCTTTATATTTGCCTGTAAGATATACCTCATTCTTTTTTTCACTGCTTTGTGATACTCCATTGTATGAATGTACCATAATTCATACAGTCCCCCTGTTGGTGGGCCTCTAGGTTCTTTTCTGCCTTTTGCTATTACAAACAGTACTGTGCCGAATATCCCCGCACACTGTCCTTGGATAAACTGATGAAATTAAATGGTAGGTGCATTTGATATTTTGATAGAAATTGGAAATGTAGTTCCCAGTGTGTGTGAAAGTGCCCATTCCCCTGAATCCTCTGAAACTATTGTGTTGTTTCTGATCTCATAAATGAAAACTGCTCTCATATTTTAGTTTGCATTCAACTATGAGTGAAACTGGGTACCATATCCCATGTTTAAAAGCCATGTGTATTTATTTTCTGTGACTTGCTTACTCGCGTTCTTTATCAGTTTTTCTGTTCATCCTTTTAATAATCGATGTGTACAAACTATAAAGAAATTACCCTTATCTGCTATATGTGTTGCAAATATTTTCCCAGGTTTATTGTTTGTCTTACTTAATTTTGCTGTTTGGATATTTAAAATTTAATATCAAATCATGGACTTTCCCTCTTCAAGATGATATGTTCTCCCATGATTTCTAGTCCTTTGAGAGTGGTCCCTTCAAAATTATTTGTGGATAAGGACTGAGTCAGGTCTTGGCCCTGCCTCCCACCCCTTTTCCTCTGGCATCCAGGTGGAGGAACCAAGCAGGAAAAACACATAGATGAAGACATCTCCCAACTTACTAAAGCAGCCGGGCAAGAAGCTTGCACCAGGGCCTTCTGCCTTTGCCAGATTCATTGAGCCAGTCAAAAGTAGGGTGTCCGGGAAGCCCGGCAGCGAGACCAGCGAAGCGCGGAGCAAGTTGAGGGAGGAATGGGCAGTCCGAGAAAGGGAAACAGAAGAGGCTGTACCCTCGGATGGGGTGGGGTTGGGGCTGGTGGGGGGCTGCAGCCTGGAGGCTAGGGACAGGCCCTAATCTGGGGTGGGTGGCGTGTTGGGGGAAGAAAAGAGAAGGAGGGGCTAGAGCTTGAGATATGGGAGGCAATGGAGGAGGCTGCAGCTATGGGGGCAGGGGAAGGGGAAGAATCGGGAATGGGCAAGAAGAGCAGTGACATGCAGGTGGAGGTGGGCAGCAAGGGTAGGAGTCAGGATCAGATGTGGTGTCCTGGAGGAGGAGCCCAGTTCAGGAGGAGCCAGGGAGGAAAAGGGCGGCTTCCTCCAGGACCCTGGGACCCTCGTGCTGCCCACTGCTTTCTCTGGCCTTAGGTGGGCAGGGCAGAAACCAGACCGTACTCCTGAAGGCAGGTGGGGAAGAGGGCATTCTAGGCTGGCCCTTTTCCTCACCTCCCAACCCAGGACAGATCCCTAAGCTCTCTGACGAAAGTTCTCTCTTGCCATTGTGAGGCTGGGGTGAAATGAGGGCTAAGAAATGGCTTTGTACCGATTAAATGGCTCCCTGGTTGCACAGGCCTGCTGTGGCCTTCCGGAGGACAGGGTAGGCATGGATAAAAGAAAAGCAAGCCTCACCTGATTGGAAAACATTTTATGTTCACAGTGCAACGTGGGGTGCCTGCCCCTGACTGCCTTATACATGGGCCTCAGCCGTGCTTCCAGAGCCTTGTTCTGTGGTGGACGCTTAACAAATGACAAGCAGAGGCCTTGTCTGAGGGAGGCAAGATGTGAAGTCACAACTCAGAATCTGTTTAGAGCCTAAGGGGCCACTGTGCTGAAGAAGGAGCCACATAGTTCTGTGACCCCTTGGGCCAGAAGAAGCTATGGGGGGTTGTCTCTGGAAATAAGAGTCTCTGGCAGGGTCTGGACCACACCTGATCCCCCCACACAAGCCCTACGAGGAAGGAGCAGGATGGATGGTCTCTGGTCCCAGACAGCTGTTGGGGCCAGAGTGGCTTCCAGAGGCTGGGGTGGGCTGGAGCACCTTTCCTTCCTTCCACCCCGGTGGGCAAAGCTAGGCCTTTTAAACCATAGGTGCCCACAGTCATGAACTGCATTCACAAGGGCCTGGTCCCAAGATGCCCCTGCCTCCTTAAGGAGCTGATAATCCTCCTGGGATGGGACAGGTCTCTGGCAAACAGTATTTACTGTCCCTTTAGGTGACACCTGATGATCCCGAAGAACCAAAGGGTTTTCTGTCTTCCATCACGAGTTCGAATGAGAGTGAGGTGCACACAGATGAGGATGCGTCCTGTGAGCCTGAAGGAAGAGCAGCCCCAGGCCAGTGGTTCTTGCCTTGGGAACACCCGCACCAGGGCTAAGGGCTGGCATTTCCCATCTTAGCTTGGTGGGGCACAACCAAAGATGAGAGGTGGGAATATGGCTGTCCCTAGAAGAGTGTGGTGAAAGGACCAGGGGTTGCCAGGGCAGGGCTGCAACTCATTTTCTCATAAGCCATTCTTTATTCACAGGTGAGGCGTGGCCCTTAGGTGTGAGAGATGCACCAGGCTAATTTTATTCTCTCTTATTCACTCAGTGTCCAACTGCCCAGCTGCTACCAAGTGCCAAGCACCAGGCAGCCATGAGGGGCCTTTCAGGACCTGTTCTGCTTCTGACTGGTTAGGTCATCTCAGAGAAGTCAATGTCCTTGCCTGTCAAATGAAGCAGCGTTTCCTGCCCTGCCAGCTTCACTGGGTGGTATGCATCAAAGGAGACTGGGACAGGACAGGGCTGTGAACAGTTCAGTCATTTGACATCGCTGTGATTATTAACCAGGGTGGGGTCATTGTCCAAGAAGAGAAGGGATGCTCTTTGGGAGGGATGCTTCCGTGGGCTGCATGGGGCCAGGGTCCCCTCCTGGAGATGACTCCTCAGTGTTTTTTGCCTTTAAACACCAGACCCTCCCTGAAAGTTTACCTTTACTTATTATGGGTTCTCTCCACTGCCCACCAGCAAAAGGAGCGGGAGAAGGTAGGGTCAGCACTGTGACCTTCTTTAGCTTCCCCTCCTAAGGCCATCAGTGAACTTTTCTCCACAATTTTTTTTCCAGGTCTCAGTAGTAGCCTGGTGACAACAGCATGAGCTCTAGGAGAAAGCCACCCTGAGAGTAGGTCTGGAGCTTCCTCTGACTTCAGCCCTGTAAGGCTACCTGCTGCCTGGGACCCATCCGTTTCCTGCCCCAAGGGCCACTGTTGGAGAAGTGCTGCTAGGGCTGAATTGAGAGGCCTCAGCCAGCCTGGGTAAGGCCGCTTTCCACTGGGTCTTCACCACCACGCCTCAGAAATGTGGGTCTCTGACACTCAGCAGAATGCACCTCTCAGAACCCAGGCTTCAGGGCCTAGCCATCCCCAAGGCTGCCAAACAGGTTTTGTATGTCTTGGGAAAGGCCATTTCCCTCCTGGTTAGTTAGCAGACATCTCTTTGTGAATTACTCCAAGGTGCTGAGCTATCCATGGAAGGAAGCACCAGAGAGAATGTGTCCCCCAGCTCTGTGAGCAGACCTGGCTGCAGATGCCAGGCCAGGCTGGAGACCACAAGGGTTCTGTCTACCAAACATCGACTGCCAGCCCATCACGGCACCACAATTTCACATTAATTAGACAAAGAACTTGCCTAGGTGGTTTTCCTGGGTCATGATCCAAATTATTTGTAATAACTCCCCAAAACAAAGAGTCAAACCCCCCAAAATTCTTTCCCCTTGGTTAGCTGTGGCTGTCTGGCAAGCATAGTGGTCCTCAGGGTGACCTTCATGCCAAAACCAGTCATTCAGAGCCATCCTGAGCATTTTGCCAGATGTGCACTAGTGCTAATTCTGGGGCCCAAGGGAGGCAGGATAAACATATTTTACTTGTTGGCAGATGTGAGGGCAGGGACTGTGCCAGAATGGTGTCTTCACAGATACAAGCACAAGTACACCAGGTTAAGAATGCTACAGGGTCTGATAGGATTCAGATGTTGCCCTAGAGAAACACACAGCCTAGTTGTGAAGATAAGATGGATACATGGGAAAGAGAAATCTAATTCACTAAAACATGTAAGGTCATTGCCAAAGAAATGGGGATGGATGGCAGAGGTAGTCAAGGATAGAGGAGGGAGCACAGTTACTAGGAGCTGTGGGAAGGATGGGAGAAGGCTTCCTAAAGGAGGAGTGACTTGAGCCAGGCCTAATGGGTGGGTAGATGGGTGGGTGGGTGGGTGGATGGATGGTTGGATGAATGAATGGGTGGGTGGATGGATGAGCAGTTTTAGAGGACAAGGATTGGGTATTCCAAGCCATGCAGAAGGTGAGAGGAAAGATACAGAAATAGATCTTTGTTGAGGAACATGGGTACAACCAGAAAGCCTAACGAAGCCAAGAAGAAGGTTGGGGAATAGGAGAAAAGATCTGTATTAGTTCATTTTCGTGCTGCTGATAAAGACATACCCAAGGCTGGGAAGAAAAAGAGGTATAGTGGACTTAGAGTTCCACATGGCTGGGGAAACCTCACAATCATGGCAGAAGGCAAGGAGGAGCAAGTCACATCTTACATGGGTGGCAGCAGGCAAAGAGAGAGCGAGCTTGTGCAAGGAAACTCCCATTTTTAAAACTGCCAGATCTTGTGAGACTTATTCACTATTACAAGAACAGCATGGGGAAGACCTGCCCCCATGATTCAATCCCCTCCCACCGGGTTTCCCCCATGACATGTGGGAATTGTGGGAGTTACAATTCAAGATGAGATTTGGGGGAGACATAGCCAAACCATATCGAGATCTAACTGGAGGGCTAGGGCCTAGAGTGGACCATGGCCATCTCTGTCCTTGGGACAGTGCTCTGCTAATTAGCATTTCCACACTCCTCTGCTTCGTCAGCCCTCCTGGAAGCAAAAGCCTGAGCTCCTCCTTCTGGACCTCCTAGAACAGGGTCCTTTCCTGCTGTATTTTCTGTAGTTTAGGAGGAGGAAAGGGCCCTGCCTGTGTCCCTCCCCCTACTTCGGAGCATTGGTTTGCCCTGCTTCTTTGTGCTTGTGCTTTCTCTTCCTGCCTGAACTGAGCTTGTGGGTTGTGAGGCTAGGGAATCACATCTCTCTGCCTCCCCTACTGCCAAACCTGGCAGCCCTCAACACCCTTCCCTCTGGGCAGTACCCTTGTTCTCCCTTTCCCCACTTTATCTGATAGATCCCTGAGTTCTCTCTTGAGTTACAAGTTCTCATCATGCCTCTCTCCAGCCAGGAAGGTGACTTGGTCAAGCTCTGTGATGCCCAGGATGCCACTGTCCACAGCCTAGCCCATCTCTGACCACCATTTGCTGCCTTGGCCAGTTTCCAGGGCGTCTCTGTCTCCCCCTCTCAGCTTGGCAGTCTTTATGCGTGCAGGCATTGCCCTTACCAGACAAATGTTTGGTGACAGTGACATCCCTGGCTCTTTCCCAGAATGCATGTTTTTTTTGTTGTTGTTTTTGTTTTGTTTTGTTTTTTTACTACACTCTCTTTTCTTTTTCTCTACCCATGCTCTGAAACCATAGTATACATACAGGACAATTGTGATTGTAAGTACTCTGCTTCCTACCCCTGATATTTCAGCAAGCTCACTGGTGTAACACTTGGGGCCTTACTCTGATCCTTACACACTCTTGCCACACTACAAAAAGGGATTTTATTTGACTGGTGAGTTTTGGAAAGCCAGTCCACCTCCCACCTCTCCCTTGGGGTCTGGCATCTTCACAGAAACCATGCATTCCATCCTGGCCCTTTGTGCTGCAAGTGTTTCAGGAGCAAACCCATGGCAACCAGCACTATGTCCTTGGGTGGCTAATGCTGCCTAATCCTGGGATTCATAACCCCACTTGCCTGCAGATACAGCCACATTCACCAACATCAGGCTTTCAGTAATATAAGTGATATGTTGGTCTCCCCATCTTATTTCTCAGTTGGTTCAAGTATTGAGTATAAAATTATAATAATAGCTAACACCTAGCTAAACACTTCATATATATTGTACTTATGTACATTGACTTAATTCTTACATCACTATGACATAGGTACTAGTATTAACCCATTTTACAGGTAGGAAACTGAGGCACAGAAAGGTCACATAACTGTTCATGGCAAAAACAGGATTTGGTCTCAGACAGTATGGCCCCAGAGACCACACCCCTTGTCTCAATGCTATATTGCCTCTGAAGAGAAGGGTGTTACTTATTGAATTCCCTCAAATCCCACTATAGTCTCATGTTTCCCATCTAGAATATAAAGCTGTTTCTATTTTTATTTGCTTTTGTTATATCTGTTTTTATCTTCTATGTCTTGTTTAGATATCAAGACCGAAGTTGAAAAGGAAGATTTGATTCTGGAAAAAACAAATGTGAAAGAAGAATTCTCTGGAAGACCGGAAGCATGAAAAGTGGAGAGTAGGGGAAGAGAGCATTCAGAACAGCCTGCAGACAAGCAAGTGAGGAGAGACAAGCCAGACACCAGGCAGGCCACAACGAAAGAAAAGATGTCTCCCAGGAGACAGAGGCCGGAACTGTAAGGAACTGAGGAAAGAGGTCCGCCACAACTCCAGCCTGGCTGCCCCTAGCAGGAATCTCTAAGCATGTACTGTGTATGGGAAGGCCTTCAGCCAGAGTTCCACCTTCATCGTACATCAGAGAATCCACACCTGGGAGAAGCCGTGTGGGTGTGGGTAGTGTGGCAAGGCCTTCATGCAGAGCTCCCACCTGACCTAGCACAAGAGGGTACACATGGGGAAGAAGCCATTTGTCTGTGGCACATGTGGCAAGGCCCTCAGTCAGGGACCAAGCCTCGTTGTGCACACAGGGGAGAAGCCACACATGTGCCTGGAGGGTGGCAAGACCTTCAGCTGCAGCTCGTGCTTCCTGGTTCACTTGTAGAGCAACACGGGGGAGAAGCCCTATTGCTGCACCCAGTATGGAAAGGCCTTTGGCCAGGGCTCCCACCTTTCCAGGGCAAGGAAATCAACTCAGAGTTTTGCAAATTCTCTGAGATGACCCAACCAGTCAGAGGCAGAGCATGTCCTAAAAGGTCCCTCATGGTTGCCTAGTGCCTGGTATCTGGGACCATGCCTGGAAGAAACACCAGCCAACTTCCCCGGCCAGAGCCCAGTGCTGATGGGTCAGGGCTTCAGGTCCAGAACTGAATCCACATAAGAGCAAGCTGAGCCCTTGTCATCAACCTAGCTCTCAGGTTATGGTAGGCTCCTGTAAGGGCCTCCCAGTGTCTTTGGAGAGAAAAGATACATACACAGTAAACACACAAATGAGTAAAGGACACTAGGTGACAAGCTGAGATTACAGTGCTGAAGTGTGTGCAGAGATAGCAAGATCAACAGGGAGGGAAAGATGGGTGAAGCTTTAGTGGGTCAGCTCTGGGAAAATGGGTTGGCAGTAGGTGGATGAGGGACAGCCCAGGGAGGGGACCAAGCAAACAAGGAATGCCTCCAGGTGGGCCCCAGTGAGGGGGAGAGTGGCTGTGCAATCACTAAGAGTGGCAGGCTTGACATACACATGGGGAGGTGAGAAGTTTCAGGACAAAAGCCCCGGTGTGTGGGTGGTACCAACCAAGGCCAAGCCCTGCCCACAGTACTGGGCTTCCTGTACCAGGTTAACCCTGTGTGAGCCACTGAGCATCATTTTCCACACCTGTGCAGGACAGGAGTTGGACATGAGGGGCTTTGAGCTCTTCTCTCTTTCACCTGTGATTTCAGAGCTCTGAAGCCATTGTCAGAATGAGGACTAATAGACGGAGGAGGGAGGTGTTGGGAGAATGAAGCTGATGGGAACTCAGGATAGATGGGCAAAGAGGAGGAAAAGGAGACAAGGGAGACCACGTGGGAGGCAGGTGGGGAAATTCAGCTGGCTCTTCTCAGACTTTGGTACCTACAACAGGTTACCTTGCTCAGCTGAAGTAGGCCAAAGACGCTTTTTAGTCATTGTCTATTCAGCAATTTACTGAGCACCTTTTATGTAAAAGGCACCTTGCTAGGTGAACTAAGGGGCCCACAGGGAATGAGACCTGGTCCTTCTCTTAACACAATCCAGCAGGGGAAGTAAGACCACCACAAGGCAGAACCTGCTGAGTGGCAGGACAGCTGAGGATAATTGCAGGGAAGTTCAGACGAGGGTGGATGCTGCTTTGATTTGGGTTGGGTCGTGAAAAAAGTGGCATTCAGGCCAACCTCAAAGGGTGAGTAGGAGTCCCAAAACCTGATGGGAGAGGAGTTGTGTCTAGAAGAAGGACTTGTCTGGAAAACATGAAGCATGTTGGGAACAGTGTACTGTCTTCGCTTGATAGATGGAAGGCATACCAGTGACACTCTGGGTGCTTGCTAATGTTCATGATGTGTGAGATGTAAGGTCCAGCGAGTCTGAAACCCTTCCTAGCACTGGCTCCTTTTGCAATGTGGATGTTTTGTTAAAGAACAGGTCTGTGCTTCCCCCATCACTAAGCAGTGCTTAGCTTAAAATGTCATGCAGCCTGGTCTAGTAAATATACAGTGCAGCTCTCCAGATCCTCTAGTTGCCAGCAATTATCAGTCTGCTGGGACCTGGCAGGAAGGAAAGAGTTTAATGAAAGGGTGATTTACAGAGGTTTGTGGAGGGGATGGGGAGACACAAGATAGCAGCAAGAACTAGAGCCTCTGCCACTCCTAGCTTGAAGGGGCACGGGAGGAAATGGTGTACCTGGAGCCATGAAGTTGTGGTTACAGAGGGGCACAGCCACTACCAGAACCATGGTAGCAGACAGAAGTACCCCATCCCATTCTCATGCCTCCCTCTGACATACCAGTGCATCCCACTAGGAAGCCAGAACTAAGGGACCCAGGGTGATACCGCCCATAGGGATCTCTCCCCCAGGGCAAAGAGGTAGATGATGGATCTGGGGTACAGACAAGAATAACCAATACGCAGGCCGAGGAGTGGAGAGTCAAAGAATAACTCTGTGGGGCAGAGACCAGTCTCTACCCAGAGCTGCTTGGCCTCTGGTAGGACATGGATTTCTCTCATACTCTCTAATTTCTACCTCTGCCACTTCCCTGAATGGCGCAGCTCCTCTAAAATGAGTGGGAGAGTAAACCCTTGGCCCTTCCCATCTTCCAGCAGACATTAACTTCATTCAGTCCCTGGGATCCCCCAACACCCACCTCCAGAGAAACCTGGTAATTTCAGTTTCTCTGGCTGTACAGGTTATCCCCTGCTGCCCTGCCCTAGAGACAAGATACTGTTGGGCCGTGTCTCAGAGCAGGAAAGCAAATTAATACTTGTTTTATTTTATACAGTAGTTAAGCACTTACTCTGTGCAGTGCTTTTCTTAATGTGTTTTACTCAATCCTCACTGCATCCCTTAGATTGTTAATATGACCATTTTATAGACAGGGACAGTGAGGCACAGAGAGGTTAAGAAGTTTGCCCATAGGTATGCAGTAAGTGGTGGAGAAGGGACTGGGCTATGGGCATTGAGTGGCTGCTGAGTCTGGACACCACAGCCAACACCAATTTACTGTCTCCCTGACACTCCACCTGTAGCCCACACTGAGCCGTGCACAGCTGCAGTGGTCACTTCCCTGGCCACTGTCTCCATCCAGGCAGAGGTGTTTTGGTCCTTTCACCACTTAGTTCTGCTTTGCCCTTATATCCAAAGCAAAACCCTTTTTACTTTACTTTCGTCCTAGTAAAAAGGTCACTTCCCTTCATTTTCAGGCCTCCAATCCTTAGCTAGGTGCCTGCCCAAGACAACTAGCAGTTTCACACAGATGCTAAGTCTCATGCAAACCCAAGCCAAGAAGCCACACAGCTCATTTCAGAGGCTTATTGTGTAAACACACAAGATTAGCAGTTGCTTTCATGAATGTCTGGGTTTCTGTGCACACCCTACACCTTGCCTATGTTAAAATAGGCTGTTTTAACAAGGGAAAGGGTCCTGGTGTTTGCCCAAAGAAGGGGGATTGGATTTGGCAAGAAATAAGGATTTTCTTATACTTTAGATGGACATTTTTTATTCTTATACTTAAAAAATTATACTTTGAAATTTCAACTCCCTGTGACGGATGCCATGCAGCTTGAGCTGACAGATGTTGCAACTGTAATTCACCTCAGGCTTTCCTTGTTGCCGGAAGTCAAGCCAGTGACTGATTCCTAGCACCCCCTCTTTGCCTACCAGTGATTGAAAGATAAAGTATATCTCATGCTGGAATTGACCTGGAAGTAGCTGGAGACATTTTGAAAGTCAACCTTCCAGTTTGTTAAAAAGCTCTAAAATTGACCCCCTAGTGGTGGGGACTATAGATCCATACCCCAGAGAGGACTAGTTCCTGACTTAACTGGAGGGCTGAACTCATAGCAGTGGGCAGCAACCAGCATTACAATACAGTCCTGTGCTGCATAACAATGGAGAGTTCTGAAAAAGGCATTGTTAGGTGATTTCGCTGTTGCGTGAATATCATAGAGTATACTCAAACAAACCTAGATAGCATGTGTAAGTACATCCTAGGCTCTGCGGTATAGTCCTAGGCTATATGGTATACACCCTACTACACCCTAACTATGTGGTACAGCCCACCGCTCTTAGACTACAAACCTGTACAGCATATTATTGTACTGAATGCTGTAGGCAATTGTAACAAAATGGTATCTGTGTATCTAAAAATAACTTAGAAAAGGTATGGTAAAAATATGGTATGAAAGATAAAAAATAGTATGCTTATATAGGACATTTACCATGAACGGAGTTTGCAGAACTGGAAGTTGTCCTGGATGAGTCGGTGAGTGAATGTGAAGGCCTAGGATACTACTGTACACTTCTGTAGACTTTACAAATACTGTACACTTAAGAGTACACTAAATTTACTTAAAAATTTTTCTTCAATAAGTTAACCTAATGTAACTTTTTAGTTTCTAAACTTTTAAAATTTTCTGACTTTTGTAATAACACTTAGATTAAAACACAAATGCACTGAAGAGCTATAAAAAAATATTTTATAAGCATTTTTCTATTTTTAAATTATTTACTTCAACTTTTTGTTAAAAAATAAGTCACAAGCATGTTAGCCCAGGCATCCACAGGGTCAGGATCATCAGTATCATCGTCTTCCACCTTCACATCTTGTCACACTGGAAGGTCTTCAGGGGCAGTAACATGCATGGAGCTGTCATCTCCTATGATAGCAATGCCCCCTTCTGAAATACTCACAAAGGACCTGCCTGGGACTCTTCTTAAGGAGGTGTCCCTCTTTTCAGAAATATGTCTATGGTGGTTTGCTTGCTTTCCTGTTTTCATCATAGACTTGCCAGTAAACAGATAATGCACCATGAACATTACTCTCTATTAAGGAAAACCTTTTGGGAGTTGGGGTCCATGTTTTCAATTTTTTTTTTTTTTTTTTTTTTTGAGATAAGAGTCTTGCTCTGTTACCCAGACTGGAGTGCAGTGGTGCAATCACGGCTCACTGCAACCTCTGACTCCCAGGTTCAAGTGATTCTCCTGCCTCAGCCTCCCTAGTAGCTGAGATTACAGGTGCGTGCCACCACACCCAGCTAATTTATTTTTTATTTTTAGTAAAGATGGGGTTTCACATTGTCGGTCAGGCTGGTCTCGAACTCCTGACCTCGTGATCTGCCCGCCATGGCCTCCCAAAGTGCTGGGATTACAGGCATGAGCCACCGTGCCCAGCCCAAACTTTTTAAGGAGTTTCTTGAGGTCTGCAAAAGCTTCTGCTAACCTCCCTACTGCGAATTTTCTTGATGGTGGTTTTCTGCAGTTTCCTTTTCTCTTGCCTCTTCTTCAGCTGTGTCCCTGTTCCATTTCTAACAACTCCTCATTAGTCAATTCCTCAGGAACCACCTCTAGGAGCTCCTCAGTGTCATCCTCATTCACACCCAGGTTAAAGCTGTTTCCCATCTCAACCACAGCCTTGTGAATTTTTGCAACCTGGTCATCCGTGGCAAATCCTTTGAAGTCATGAACAAACCTCGAGTGTCTTCTTCCAGATGCCATTCATACACATATTGGTGACATCATCCTAAGCCCAAGCAAGGTTCTTGATGCAGTCTTAGATGCTGTAATCCTCCCAGAATTGCATCAGTGTCTTCTCAGTGTCTCCCTCAGATAACAGCAGCAACAGCCTGGGGAAATGTCCTTCTTAGGTAGTGGGCCTTCAGAACTGCTCTAACTCCTTGATCCACTGGTTGGATCAAAGAGGTGATGCTTAAAGGGAGAAACACCAGTTTGATATTAAGACAAAGATCACCTAAAGGATGTACAGGAGCATTATCAACAATAAGCAAAATCTTGAAAGGTATGTTATTCTCCAAACAGTACTCCATTTCACTGAAATAGCAATTCAGGAGGGCATCTTGGAAGAGAAGCTGGGTCATCCATGACTTGTTATTGCTCCTGTAGTACACTGGCAGTGTGCGCTTACTGATATGCTTGAAGGCCCTGGGGTTCTCACTGTACCAAATCACAAAGGGTTTCAATTTGTGGGCAACAACATTGCCCCCAAACACTGTTATCCAGTCCTTCAAAGCCTTGAAACCTGCCATTGACTTGGCCTCCTTATGGATGAAAGTCCCTTCAGGCATCTGTTTCCAGAATAGGGAGGTTTGATCCATATTAAACATTTGCTCTGGGAAGTAATTTTCCTCCACAATCAGCTTACCTAGAGTTTCCAAAAATTCTTCAGCTGCCTTCACATCAGTACTCATAGACTTACCACTCACTTTCACAATTGTGTAATGAATAAAAGTTCTTGAATCGTTTAAACCACTCAGAGCTAGCAATAAATTCAACAATATAGTCAGGTCCAGCCTTTTCTATCAACATAACAAACAAGTTTTTTGCTTTAGCTGTGATTGTCGGTGCTGAGAGGGACATGCTTCTGTGTCTGGTCTTCAATATAGGTCATTAGAAGTTTATCCATATCTGATATTGGCCCTTCTCAAATTTTTATTAGTTTCATTGCCTTCAATGAAGCAGATCCTTTAATAGTTTCTATCACTTTGCTCTTGTACATTAGGATGGCAGCTATGGTAAAATGGGACATGCCTGACTGGTGAGCAATAACCATCCCTGATTTTCCACCTTCACAGTCCTTAATCACTTCTAATTTTGTTTCCAGGTCAATTACTCAACACAGCCTCTTACTGGCAAAATTAGCCATGGATTTTGAATGCTTAGGGGACATGATGAACAAAATATGAGATTAAATCAAGCACAAAAGGAAATGATGCAGTCAAGAGATGTGGTAAACATGAGATATATGAGGCTGCTGCTGGTCAAACACAGCATACTGTTTTACAGTAAACTTTGAAAAAAATAAGTGGAAGGAGCACACTTTGAAATAATGAAAAGTACAGTAAATACATAAACCAGTAGCACAGTCTTTATTATCGAGTATTATGCACTGTACATAACTGCATGTGCTGTCCTTTTATATCACTGGCAGCATGGTCGGCTTGTTTACACCAGCATCACCACAAACATGTGAGTACTGCATTGTGCTACCACATTACGACAGCTGCAGAGTCACTAGGCCACAGGAATTTCTCAGCTCCATTACAACCTTATAAGACTACCATCAAATATGTGGTCTGTTGTAAACATTATGTGGCACATGACTGCACATACTGAGACATATTGCATTCCTATTATATTTTTCCTTTAGTCTAAAGGTAATAAATCTCTTTTTGTGTAAGTGGCAGATGATTAGGATATTACTTTTTAATTTTATACACACACATGATCTGTTTTATTTCCTTGTAAGGAAAAGTCAAGCTATATGGTCTAGAGAGAAGAGAACAGGCCCTAAGACTAGGATCTCAGCCCTGAGCAGCTAGCGACTGAAGATGAGAGAGAAGGATAATTTTAAAGACACCCCTCTAGCATGTCTAATGGTCAAGGACTGCAATGTTTCTGACAGAACACTTTTGAGAGGCTCAGACTCCTTAACCCTATGGACAGGGTTTAATACTTCATCTTGTTAACTCTGGTCTGCAGTTCTGGTCTGGTAGGGTTCCTTTGATTGATGACTCTATCATCCTATGTATCCTTCGCTGTTTTGGTCATTGCTTGAAATAACATTGAAAAGTACAGTAAGCTTTAATGTGCTGGAGTTATGCTGGAAAAATTACAAATCTTCAAAGCAGGTGGGATCTTGCAAGATTATCAGATTAAGAGTTTCTTGATACGAGGAATTTCTCAGTGAATTAACATTTAATCAACTTTGTAGAAATGAAGAGCTCCTCGGTTTCCTGTCAATCAAACCAGAAGACAGGACCTGGCATCTACCTCTTGGAACTCCAAATCTGACTGGAGGCACACATACAAAAATAAGGCAAGTGAATAAAACACTATACAAGCAGAGTGAGTTTGTGGACCCAGATTTCCAGCAGTGAAGAGTCCATGACCTCTCACATACTTCCTAGTATTTATGAGATGCTGACCTGGGTGAAGGCAAGCATATAACATGACCATTCAACTCTGCCCCATTAACAATGGGCCCTAACCCAAGTAGCCAGCTGAGGTTTCTTCCGGGCATGAGTTGCCTGATGGAGAATAAGATGGGAGCTCTGGCCAAAGGTTCTTCCACACTCATTACACTTATATGGTTTCTCCCCTGTGTGAATTCTCTGATGCACAATAAGGTATGAGCTACAACTGAAAGCTTTGCTGCATTCATTACACTCAAATGGCTTCTCCCCCATGTGGATCCTCTGATGGACAGTGAGGCCTGAACTCCGGCTGAAGGCTTTCCCACTCACTACATTCAGAAGATTTCTCCCCAGTGTGGATGCCCTGATGAACTATGAGATTTGAGCTCTGGCTGAAGGTCTTCCCACATTCCTGGCATTCATAGGGTTTCTCACCAGTGTGGATCCTCTGATGTCGTATGAGGTGTGACCTCTGTCTGAAGCCATTTCCGCATTCATTACATAGGAAAGGTTTCTCCCCTGTGTGGATTCTTTGGTGCACGATGAGGTTTGCACTCTGACCAAAGGCTTTTCCACACTCTTTACAGATAAAGCGTTTCTCTCCTGGGTAGTTTTGTTGCCCTCTTTCCTCGTCAAGGGCACTGCTGTCTCTGAAGGCAACACCTCTGGAAACTCTCTTCCTTCTCCTCACTCTGGGTCCTGCCTGGCTTCCCTGATGCCTCTTTGCACTTCCTTTCCCCTCTAGGGCTTCTCTAAACCTGGCTGCCAGAGGGGCTACACTCTGAAGCCTTTCATAAGTTGTGACTTGTATTTTGACTTCTGAAACTGGCCCCTTGTTCTCCCTGTGAATTCTCGAATGTGAAATACTTTTTGAGCCTAGATTAAAGAAGTTATCAAATTCTTTACCTTTCTGGCTTTCCTTCTCTAGGGAGATTTTTACATCCTTGAATTCTGCTGGCTTTATACTTCTAGTCCTCGTCCTCAGCATCTCCCTGGAAGGAGCTCTCTGAGGAATATTCAAACTGTCTTCCCAATTTTTGAGTGCTCCAATCTTGCATTCTTGGGAATCATTATTCCAGAGTGCTCTGGAGGTGGCTCAGTGTATCTCTGTTTCTTCTGATACTTCCTGCTTTGGAACCGACTCCTTGATATCTGATTTGGTTTCATAATCTAACAAAAGATACCTGTTTCCTATGGTGGAGACAAAACATCTTTAAGTGATACTAATGTATACTCTAGACATTTGTGATGCTGACATGTCGATAGCACATGTACACTCCTAATGTGACTGCAAAAGGTCAGCAGACAGCCAGGAAGGGCAGAGGGGAGAGGCAGCAATGTCTGGCATTCAGAGATACTGCAAAGGATGAAAATGTTCCTTTTCCTCAGCACGACACTCTGGTGGGTTATAAAGATCCCTCAATGTGGGACAGGGAATGGCCTGATTCCATGGACTGCTCATACCTTTCCTTATCCAGGTTCTGAGCCAAGCTGCACCACAAAGTGCTGGACAACCTTTGGGAGTGCCGCTTGGTTCTCACACAGCCAAGGTGGAGCTCAGGAGGCTGTCCTGTATTACAGGGAACTCAAGAAGTACAGACCTGAGGGAAAGTTTTCATATTTCTGCTGAAAGTGAGCTTGGAAAGAGCCTTCTAGGCTTTTTTCCCCCTTCCTTCACCTTCTTCCTTTTTCCATTTCTTATGCATTATTTCCTTCCCCTCACTTCTCCTGTTCCCTTCTGCTTTCCTCCTCTTACCATTTCTCCCTTTTTCTTCCTCAACACCTGTCATCCTTTCCACTCCTCCTCTAATCTCTATTTTTGCTTTAAAACTCTTCTCTTGGCTCATGCCAGTAATCCTAGCATTTTGGGAGGCCAAGGCAGGAGGATCACTTGAAGTCAGTAATTCAAGATCTGCCTGGACAACATAGCAAGACTCCAACTCTACAAAAAATAATAAAAATTAACCATGCACGGTGGTGTGCACCTGTGGTCCCAGCTACTTGGGAAGCTGAGGTGGGAGGATCACTTGAGCCTAGGAGTTCAAGTCTGCAATGAGCTGTGATTGTACCACTGCATTCCAGCCTGAGCAACAGAGCAAGATTTCTCTCTACAAAAAAAAAAAATAATAATAAAAATAAAAATAAACTCTTTTCTTATTCCTGTTTTGGAATAAACTCTCATAACCTCAAATTCTCTGTGCCATCATCACTGAGGTCGGCCCTATACTTGCTGAAGAGAGCCACTCACCCACTTAACAATTTGTTCAGGCACAGTAAGCCTCAGAATTTGGGGAGACTCCCAAATATAGTATATCCTCCTCTTGAGTTCTCAGGGCAGTGAACATGTACTTTGCAACTGTCCAGAGCTGACTGAAAAGTATCTTATACCAAAGTGTAAAGACCCTCAGGGCTATCCATGCTGTAAAATCCCTGAAGCTGCAGACCCTCCCCAGCACTGAGAGCCAGCAGAGACCCCACTGCCTCTACAAAGCAGGCAACCCCGAATAGCAAGGGTGACAGGGGCTGTACTCAGGTCATCCCCACCAAATTCTAGCTTCCAGTTCCAGTTTCAGAACAGGTGCCAAATGGGGCCTAGCTAAGGAGCTGCTGCCACCAGATAGAGATAGAAATTCCAGGCTCAATTCTAAGGCTGTTGCCTCTGACTTCTCTCCAGCAGCCCTGATCCAGGTTCTCTAAGGTGCCCTATGGGAACTAAGCTAAACCCCAGAGGAGAAATGCTACTTCCTCTGGGTCAGAAGACAAGAAGTGGGTACCAAATCACCTTCAACTCCCATGTCTAAGAGTCTGGGATGAAGAGGAGGGTTGACGTTCTCCCTTCATTTCAGATTAGACGCCAGATGTGGTGCAGTAAAGCAACCTGCCCACATTCCATGGCAGGCAGGTAGGGAGCAGAGGTGGGCCCAGACTCCAGGTCTTCTCCTTCCTGGAGATCTTCATAACACCACCCTCAAATCTCCATCATGTGACTGTCCCACTTAGCAAGACCCTAAGGCATTCTGGCACCCCACCCCTTTGCCCATGTCTGCTCCTTGCCTCAATATTAGTAGGGGCCATATCAGTCAAGCCTCAAAAAATCCTCAGGGAGAATGAGGCTTGAGGAAAAAAATTCCAAGAGCAGCCCTATCTCAAGCTGTGGAGGACTGTGAAATCAAGGGAGAGGAAGAGAAAAATTGGAGACTAAAGTTCATTATAGGAACAGAAGTCCCCATCCTCTTTCCCCAGGGAATGTTGAGGATGGGAAGGAGATCAAGACAACTCAAGTTTTCATCCAGGTTAACAAAAAGTATTAGCTAGCCAAGACTTGCCTGTCCCCCAGGAACTAAAAGTCCAGTGGGGTGACAGTTGTGTAAAGAGATAATTAAAGTACACGTCAAATTGAGGTAAGAGAAGGCTGGTGAGGAAAAGACAACTTATAGCTCAAGAGGGCTTGACAGCAAATAACTAAGACTTCCTGGGAGGTGGCATTTCAGTTGGGTCTTGAAAGGAGCTAGGATTTCAAAGGGTAGGAAGCTTGGAGGTTAGGCATGGAGGTTTTCTTCCAGGTAAAGAAAGCAAGATGGGCAAAGGCACAATAATGGAAAAGCAGAGGTTGTTGGGAGAAGTCTGTCAGTGTCATTTGGAGTGTAGTGGGAAACAAAGCTGGAAAGGGAAACCAAAGTCAAATCAGGTAGGGCCTGGAATGCCACACTAAAACCTTCACACTTTATTTAAAAGGTCTAGAATTTACATAGGGATGTTTTCTCTGGTGTCTGAACAACAGAGATCCCAGAGATTGTTACTGGTGCTTTAAGGGGTTTTAGGCTATTGTTCACCTCCTGCAAGTCAAGTGTTCCCTGGCCTATTGACAACAGGCCTGTCTGGAGATAACTCCCACCCCCTGCTACCCTGGCCTGGGTCTTCACCTAGCCCCAGGCATCCCTGTAGTCCTTATTCTCCTTTACTGTCCCTGGTCCTGCCACTAGGAAAAAGGTTTCCGTTATTGTGATGATTGTAAACATTACCCTCACTCTGTTGAGGGCCTGCCCTGGGACACCTCCTGAACTTCTGTGGCTCCTGGACAGGCAGGGAGTGGTCAACTAACGAGAAAGACACCGGAAACCACTGTTGACAAACAGAAATGCCAGCTGGGTACCCCAGCATAATTGGCCCAGCTATCCAAGGCCGGGCCTTGACTCCCAAACTGAGGCCAAAACTGCTGGATGTCTGCCAAAACCTTGCTTAGCAGAAGACCTCTTTTCTTTTTAATGAATCTGGCAATCTTTTATAAATTCTAGGATATAAAATCCAGAGCTGCTCTGGTGAACGCATAAGCAGTGGGCCCCACATCTACCTGCTTAGCTGCCTGTCAGTCCTGCCAGTGGGTCCCAAGAGCATCATTGCTGGACAAGGTGATGGCTCATGTGTCTTCTCAACCTCATTTTCTCTATGACTACTAAAAATTCTAAAAACAAAAAACCTGATTCTGGGAAGACAGAACCTTTGCATATCTTCTCTAACGATATGCACTGGGCCTGACAGGCAGGAAGCCCCAGAATACGGCACACAGGGATTTTCTTTTCTTCACCTCCACTGATGGAGCTTGTTTTGGTTCCTACTCCTACTAAATATAAGAAGCCAAGGGACAGGTGACTGTGGGAAGCTGGCACTGTCGCTACCACCAGAGATGAGGGGAATGAGAAGGGCTGAGGGAAAAATCCAGAACATTTAGGGAAGAAAATCATTGGCTCTAAAATTTCTTAATATTTAGGCAAATTTTAGAAAAAGCACAAGAAAAAAATAGGAAGTTGGTCTCATCAGTTCTCCCACTTTTGCTTTTCAAGTTCCTACCAGCAGTGGCTTTTTCTATGTCCAGTGTCTATTTGGTTAGAAATGTTATTTTTGGCCAGGTGCAGTGGCTCATGCCTGTAATTCCAGCACTTTGGGAGGTCAAGGCAGGCAGATCACGACATCAGCAGATCAAGACCATCCTAGCTAACACAGTGAAACCCCTTAGTAAAATACAAAAAAATTAGCCAGGCATGGTGGTGGGCACCTGTAGTCCCAGCTACTCGGGAGGCTGAGGCAGGAGAATGGCGTGAACCCAGGAGACGGAGTTTGCAGTGAGCCAAGATCATGTCACTGCATTCCAGCCTGGGCCTCAGAGCAAGGCTCCGTCTCAAAGAAAACAAAACAACAAAAAAAGAAATATTACTGTTATGTTCCCTCCCAAGTGATGAGAGGCCTCTCATGGCATGTGACTTCTGTAGTGTGTGGAGATCAACCTGTGGAAGGAGAATGAAGATACTGAAGAGGTCTTGATTAAGAACACCTCTCAAAGGAGCAGGTGTCTCCCTTGCTCACAGCCATGTCTCCCACTGGAGCCCTGGATCCCATTCTTCCAGATCCCTCAGAAAACTCCACTAATTATCCCTTCCTCTCTGCCCTGCACCACCAGCCTCTTACTGTCTCCTGAGTCTTTCCTGGTTGCCTATTACCATACTCAAACCTCACGCACTCTAAAAACAACCCTCTCTTGAGACTTGTTTCTCTCAAGCTCAGGCCACATGTCTTGTCTTCTCTTCTCATCCAAACCTTAGAAGAAAACAACAACAACAACAACTTAAGTACTTCATCTTTCAGGCACTCCTCAACTCACTGCACACAGTCTGTAGTCCCGACCACTCTACAGAAACAATCTGAAGATGCAAGCGCTTTCTTTCCTAATCGTCAAATCTAAGGGTTGCTTTTCAGTTCTCCCTATTTGACTCTTACGTGGTATATAAACCACTATGTTCCCCCAAACTGCTTTACTGACTCCCATATTCTTGAATGACAGTGTTCCTGGGACTCTCTCTTAACCAATTTCTTCCTCTCACTCTAGATCTAAGTCAGAGGTTAAAGACTCATGCCTTAGGGACCGGGCAGGGAATATAAAGGAATGAAATGAATGGGACTATATTAAACAACAGGGAGGAGGGCGATGAACGGGAGTGTGCACACCCCTCTAAGGGGGCGCCTGCTGCTCACTCTAGCCTAATGCCTTACAAGAATGTGAGCCAAGTGTTGCCAAATCTTCCAGCCTTCCAAGAAACACCACAAATCTAGATTTTTACACAGCATCTAATGATGAAAAGCTGGTGACTAATTCAATTTTTCAAAACTACTGTTCAGGATAAACAAAGCACATCAGTAAATCTGATCTGGCCCATGGGCATCTAGTTTGTGGTCTCTGCCCTAAGTTCTGCCATGCACTCTTTTGGTCATAACCATCACCTATTAGTTATGATTTCCAAATCTCACATCTGATCAACTTTTTCTTTAGCCCCAAAGACATCAGCCAATGTCTTCTGTAACGTGACATCACTGACCATGTTCAAAGCTGAGCTGATCATCTTTCTTCTAAAGCGTCCCACTGTTCCTCTTACGTTCTCCTCTACCATCGTCCATCCTCTCACAAGCCAGAAACCTGAGACAGTCCTTCCCTTCTCTCTCTCCCTTACTCTTCTAAGTCATCTTTGAGAAGAAGAGCTGGTAACACAGCCTGAAAAAAGCCTCAGGGCCTGGATTTTCATGGTGGTTCTGCCACTTACGTGCTGTTTGCGCTTAGGCAGATTAACCCCTCTGATTTCTTCTTAATGGGAATAATAGTACCTACCTCATAGGGCTGCTGTCAGGATTAAATGAAACAAGCATCTAGAACAGTGTCTGGCCCACGCTAAGCACTACACAAGCACTTGCTATTATTTTGCCTCTTTAATGCTCCTTAAATCTATACAGTTCAGACATTCAGACTTATGGGACACTTATGACTGCCACCTGCACCTACACTACTTTCCTCCCGCCCGCATCCCATTTCTAGTCCCCAGTTCACCCTAACAACAAGACCCTCAAGCAGCTGACGAGCGACTTTCCCCTTACATCAAGTGCACAGTAAACCCAAGCGCCGGGCCGGGGCCGCGGGGATTCCCGCCAGTCACTCCCGCCAGCCGGCCCCGCCGCCAGCGCAGCCCGCAGCCCCGGCAAGCCTAGGCCCCCTTGGCCCCGGTCTCGTTCGCTCACCAGAGGCCACGGGGCCCCCAGCCCCGCACAGCAATGACACACCGCCACCGCGACGCGTTTGCCCTCAAGGGCCTCCCGCGAGCTTAAGTACCCAGGGAAGATGGGCCGCCCCGGAAGTGCCGCCCGGGCGCCTTGCAGGCCCCTCGCTGACCGCTCTAGGAATCTCGGAGGTTTTCTGACCTCGATGCCTCCTTACCTGGGTCTCCTACATCTGACCTATCTATTGCAATTAAAAGTCTGCAATGTGTTTGGGGGTGGGAGAACAATCTACCATCCACAGAAAGGCCTCAGAGAATGTTGGAGAAAAAATTAAAGTCTTAGATATTGACGTGTTTAACTTTTACTTCTTTTACAGTGTAAAAGTGCCTCTTTACAACTCCTTTTTTTTTTTTTTTTTTTTGAGAGGTGCTTATAGAAGATACGATTCAGGTTAGAAGATTCAAGTTAGAAAATTCAGGTTGTTTCTCTAGTCAGTGCTCTCCAACCTGTTGCAATAGAAGTGGGATGGAACTGCTGAGGTAGGAGACAGGACTTGACTCCAGAGGTGGGGTCGGACACTCGACCAGATTGAGGACTAACTAAAACAGAGCCAGGTGGATGCGGCTTTCAGTCAGACTCACCCACCAGTGTGCCATGTCAATTTATCATTGCCGTGGCAACACCCAGGAGTTCCTGCACCTTTCCATGGCAGTAACCCAATAACCCCAAAGTACTACTCCTTCCCTAGAAAGTTCTGCACAAGCCACCTCTTAATCTGCATGCGATTAAAAATGGGTGTAAATATGAATGCAAAACTGCCCTGAGCTTCTACTCTCTGCCTACAGGATAGCCCTCCTCTGCAGGAGCAGTTACAGAGCTGTAACACCGCCTCTTCAAAGATGTTTTTTCCTCCTACCTCTGCCTTGTCTTTGAAGTCTTTCCTGGGCAAAGCCAGAAACCCTCGTGGGCTAAGCTCCACTTTGGGGCTTGCTTGCCTCGCATCACTGTGAAGCTACTTGAGTTGTCAAATAAAAAATAAACTCAGACATAGATAAGACAGGCTTTATTCAAAAGGACAATTGCAAATGGGAGACAGGTACTACTACAATAGGGAGAGGAGGACTATTGCAATAGAGAGAATGCTCAGACTATAAGATCCACAAACATCTTGTCAACCCAAATAACAGACAGACTCTCTAAAGATAATGCATTTATTCAAGAGTGCACAGGAGACTCACAAATCCAGAATATGGGGGCTATGCGGATCATTGGCATAGAGGTTGTGTAGCGGGGTTGATAAAAAATTAGAGAGACCGATGGGGGTGAGAAAGATATTTATTATTTAGGTGCACCGGCCCAGTCGGATTAACATCCAAAGGACTGAGCCCTGAACAAAGACTTAAGTTACCTTTTAAGCATTTCATGGGGTGGGAGAAAATCTGTGCAGGGAAAAACATATTACAGAAGCAAAAAACGAAGGCAGTTATTCAATTAATTGAGACCTGCATTACATCAGTTGAAGCGAAGGAAAGTTTTTAAAGGCAAAAAGGAAACATAGGTAATTTGTTTTGAAACAAAGAGAATATTGGTTGCAAGACTAGTCACAGCAGTTGATGCCAGTTTATTAACAGAGAGAGTGTGTCAAGCAAGTGTCTTTGTGCATCCAGGTAGCTTCCTTTTACTCATGTAGCAAGCTGCAGCTTAGAAAGCCCTTGTCAGAAGTTCTCATTATGGGCATCTATGTGTAGAAAGTTCTTGTAACAGTTCATAACATAGGCATGTGTGCATGAGGTCCCTCCCTTCTTAACCTCCTGGTTTTATTTATTTATTATTTTTTGTTAGGGCTTGACACAAATGACTCCATTTTGATTTTGACAACTTTCACAGTATCAAAGGTCAGGCAGAAAAGAATTTTATGCAGAACTTTCTAGGGAAGGAGTAGTACTTTTGGGTCATTGGGTCATTGCCGTGGAAAGGTGTGGTAACTCCTGGGTGTTGCCATGGCAATGGTAAATTGACGTGACACACTGGTGGGTATGTCTGATAGGTAGGAATAAATAAGGTTAGAGCAGATTGGTGTAAGGGAATGAATGAGCTGGTGTCATAATTGGACAGTTAATCAGGAAATGTCTTTCCTTGAAGTCAGCTGATTACCAGTGACCACATAAGCCAGAGTTCTTCAGCGAACCAGAGCCAATAGGATATATAGATATGTAAGAGGGATTTATTAAGGAAATTGACTCACATGATTATGCAGGCTGAGAAATCCCATGTTATGCCATCTGCGAGCTGGAGAACCAGGGAAACTAGTGGCATAACTCAGCCCAAGTCTGAAGGCCTGAGAACTGAGAAGGCCACTGGTGCAAGTCCCAGAGTCTGAAGGCTGAATAACCTGGAGTTCTAATGTCCTAGTGTTGCCGGAGGGCTTAGAATGGTCTCCAGATGCCGGTGAGACCCTAACTCCAGTTGGTTTCCAACTTCTTGACACCATTGCAAGAAAGAATTCAGGGACAAGTCAGAATGAAGTAAAAGGCAAGAAGCTTTTATTGTAAAACAAAAGTACACACTTAAGAGATAAGTGTGGGCATGCTCATGAGAATGAGTCATGCACAATGAGTTTCTAATTTTATGGTGTTTCTTTAATTATGGGGTGGAATAATCATTTAGTATTTTGGAAAAGGAAAGGATTTCAGGGACTCCTCCCACCACCCTATTCCCTCCATTACCACCCCCTTTCTCCCTTATTTGGGTTTGCCAAGAAGAGTCACGGACATGTCACCCTGACCCTGGTTTTGGCCATTTTCTCTCCTTTATTTTGAGTTTTCTGTTACCCTATGGTTTCTTTGCCTAGTTCTTATTTTAGCTGTTATTCGGGTTTTTCCATACTCCTGTGACTACCCAGTGCTATTCCTGTCTCACAGGTCCAGGAGAAGATGGGTGTCCCAGCTCCAGGAGAGAGAGAGTGAATTCACTCTCTCTTTTTGTTCTACCTGGGCTCTCAGCCCTTTGGATGGTACCCACCCATGTTGTGTGAGGGCACATTTTCCTTACTCAGAACACAGATTCAAATGCCAATCTCTTCCAGAAACATTCACAGACATACCTCCAAAATAGTGCTTTACCAGTTATCTGGGTATTCCTTAACCCAGTCAAGTTGACACCTAAAATTAACCATCCTATGTTCTTATAACAAGGAGGGATTGATCTACATCTTGTTGCTGGCTCAAGCCAAAGATAGGTCAAAACTTAAGGACCTAGGGGAGGGAAAAGAGCTTAACTAAATCTTGGTCAAGTTAAATTAGCAGGTATTCTGTACAAATTGGTCATGGGTACAAACAGTTCAATTAATCAGTTGTAAAGCACGTCACCTGGAGGGTCTGTGTCTAGACAAACAAGGGGGTGGGGCTATCTGTGAGTCTCATCTAAGTCATATGGGGAAGGATGGCTCTTTGCAGGAAGTCATTTCCTAGAACACTAAAGGGTGTGGGAATATTTAATTGTCACTGTTTTCCAGCAGAGTTAACTCAGGTAAAGTTGAACATTATCAGACTCTTGGGGAAAATTAGGTTATCTATTCTTTGTTGGCTGTGATAGGGTTCATGACACACTATCATAAAATATGGCATCTTGCCATTTGAGAAAACAGCAGAAGCAAGATGGTCTGTCTGACCTTCTCCCATGATTCTCCTCTGAATCAGGCTGTAAAACCTTCCCTTAAAAGGTTGAGTGTAGTAGCTCACTTACGCCTGTAATCCCAGCATGCTGAGAGGCCAAGGCAGGTGGATCACCTGAGGTCAGGAGTTCAAGACCAGCCTGGTCAACATGGTAAAATCCTCTCTCTACTAAAATTACAAAAATTAGCCAGATGCGGTGGTGCACACCTGTAATCTCAGCTACTCAGGAGGCTGAGGCGGAGAATCTCTTGAACCCAGGAGGCAGAGGTTGCAGTGAGCCAAGGTCATGCCATCGCACTGTAGTCTGGGCAATAAGAGTGAAACTCCAACTCGAAAATAATGATAATATTAATATCCATTCTTGCAAAAATAATGATAATATTAATATCCATTCTTGCAAAATATAGTAATTAAAAAATTATTCCTATATCACAGGCCCTTGTAGCAGAGCACATCTCCCCATATATATGATCATTGTACCTAGGGTGGACACTTTCCTCCTCTTACTTTCAGGAACACCCTACTTTGTCTATGGAATAGCTATACTTTCACTACTTTCACACCAGCTCACCAGCAATGGATCCAAACCAAGACAAAATCTGTGAATTGCCAGAAAAAGAATTCAGTCATTCGACTATTAAGCCAATCAAGGAGGCATCAGAGAAAGGTGAGGTCCAATTTAAAAAAAATTAAAAAATGATACAGTATATGAAGGGGAAAATCTCCAGTGAAATAGATAGCATAAATAAAAATTACAACTTCTGGAAATCAAGGACACACTCAGAGAATTGGAAATGCACTGGAAAGTCTCAGCAATAGAATCACACAAGTAGAAAAAGAACATCAGAGCTCAAAGACAAGGATTTCAAATTAACCCAGTTCATCAAAGACAAAGAAAAGAGAATTTTAAAAAATGAGCAAAACTTCTAAGAAATTTGAGATTACGTCGGATGACCAAACCTAAGAATAATTGGTGTTCCCAAGGAAGAAGAGAAATCTAAAAGCTTGGGAAACATATTTGAGGTAATAATTGAGGAAAACTTCCCGGCCTTGCTAGAGAAGACATCCAAATACAAGAAGCTCAAAGAACACCTGGGAAAGTCATTGCAAAAAGGTCATTGCCTAAGCACATACTCATCAGGTTATCTAAAGTCAAGACTAAGGAAAGAATCTTAAGAGCTGTGAGACAAAAGCATGAGGAATCTATAAAGGAAACCCTATCAGATTAACAGCAGATTTCTGAGCAGAAACCCTACAAGCTATAAAGGATTGGGGTCCTATGTTTAACCTCCTAAACAAAACAATTATCAGGCAAGAATTTTGTATACAGTGTAACTTAACTTCATAAATGAAGGAAAGATACAATCTTTTGCACACAAACAAATGCTGAGAGAATTCACCACTACTACCAAGCCAGCACTACAAAAACTGCTAAAAGGA